CAAGAGACTGCCCCATGCCACTGACGCTGCAAACGACTCTGAAAGCACGCTGGCAAATGGCGCAAACGCTTGCCAATGTGACACACCAACTATCCGTTGGCTGAGGTTCCCGAATTAAGCGGCTGGCTGTTCGGGATCAGCTCGAGTGGGGGCGGGCCCTCAGCTCTCAGGCAAATTGCTCGTTCGAGCTGTCACTCATGATCGGCGAGTGTCACTTTCTGTGCAGATCTGTGCAGCAGTACCGAAACCTCTTCCAAAACTTGCACAGATCCGAAGGCTGTGGCCGCAACAGCACATCCGACTCGAGATCCGCACATCATCGTCGCTGTCCTCGTCATTCTCTTCCACGGCAAGATGATCAGCATGGACCTGCTCAAGCTGCAAGGAAACAGTCCCCCTGCTGCAGTGGAGACCAAGTTCTGGAGACCAGGTGAACACGCAACATGACAACCTTTTAAGCACACAATCACTTCACTGTCACACGATGCTTCTTGGAGGCTGGATGTGCACAAGGCAAGCTGCTCGCCTAGCCTTACCCTATTTAGCGGGCCGTTTGGGAAATAGCTTGTAACTTCTGACATCTCAATTATGCTTCGGGACTTCGATTTCGTGGGACCACCGCGCCATCTGTACCCAACAGCCTGACAAGCCTACACAGGCTGAAAACTGACAAAGCAATGCACAAGCTGCCACAAGCCATGCGCAGACACCTGTTGGTTCGGAGTCTGCCCCGGCTGGCGACTGCACGGTTCTGCAGCAACAAACGGATTGCGGCGTGGCCCCGCCCCGCCTGTGGGGCCGCCACGTCGCTCTCCGAATCCCAGGCCAGGCCTTCGTCTTCCGATTCCTGTAGAAAGGAGTGGCTTCGGCTGGAGAGCTTGGAGCAAAGGGAATCCATAAAATTGTCTGTCTGCCTACCTGGGCCTACGTGCGTACCGGCAAAGGCATCTGTCTGTCCAAAATGTTCATCTATGTCTACTCTTGGTCCAGTTAACTCCGTGCATCACATGTCATGGTATGAGAAAACCTGATATCGATGCGCCACCCTTCTGATGTCATCCCGATACACATCTCTGCACAGAGTCCCGAACATCAGCTCCACAAGTCTCCACAAGCCAACCCGAGGATCAGGCCACCAGCGCCGCCTGTGCAGAGGCAGCCGCGGTAGTGGAGGTGCTGGAGGACGCCTCCAAAGACCCATCCTGTTCCTCCTCTCTATACACTGCTTGCAGATGCATGCATGCGCATAGAGACAAAGAGAGGAGAAGGAGCACGGCCTGAAGTTTGACGCCCTCAAACCCTTCGATTCCTCTAGGTTGCAAGGCTTCAAAGCGACTCTACGCACCTGCAAGGGCTCCGGGGTTGAACAAAAGGGAGCTCGGTTTCGGAGCTGACACAGAGAGGGAGACACAGAGCGAGAAACGAAGACTGCCGGAGCGTTGCTGACGATGCTTTTGAACTACTCTCTCCCTTCCAATCCAAAGAAGAATCTTGAATCTCCATGCGAGCACCGTGCCACAGATGCGACACAGTGAGTGCAAGCTTCCTGGCCCTTTTCGTCTTCAAGCCTGTGTTTTCTGCCAGTTTCTGGCTGCAAAGCACTCCATTCGTTATGCCCGGCCCTAGCCCTACGTTGCAGATTGGTGCATCCCCTCCAAAGTACTCCGTCGAAGCTCCGACTACCTCTGTGATACAGAACCCGACTAGCAATCCTGGGATGAACAGACCTCCGTGCAAGACAGAGCTTGTCCTTCAAAGATGCTGACAAGGCAGTGGCACAGGCTTAAAAGTGACTTCGTGCCCGTGAAGCCAGCGCAGCTCAGGACACGATGCGGGGCCGGAACTTGCGCTTCGGCTTTGGAGGTGGCGGGGGCGTTCGCTTCCCGGCCTGCAGAGTCGCAGGGGCACTGACTGAGGTGCTTTGACAGCGGTCTTTTTGAAGGCCTTCAGTCTGCGATAGGCCCAGCGGTGCCACTCTATGATACTCGCTCAAAGACCAACAGGGCTCTGCATTTCACGCGTCTTTGCAGGGAGGCTGCGAGCCACAGAGCAATGCTTAACAGTAGTATCGCAAGGAGTAAGGACGAAATTAACTTGTTCAGAACAACCACAGTATCAGCAGCAGAGCACACTTCTTCTCCTGCGCATCCAACGTGTCTGTTATCTCCCTATGTACAGTCTCGAATCCCTTCGGCCAAACCAGGAAAGCGGCGTGCCGCCAGCGATGGACAAGCTCGAGCCCTCCTCTTCATGCTCGGGTTTCAGAACCTTGAGCTCGGAACAGGGCTGGCCCGGTCCCTGAGCCTCAAAGCCCGACTGCGCTCCGACATCTCCCAAGAGGAGCATCGCCGTGAAAGAGCCCGGAAAAATCTCAGGCAAGTTTGTGGATCCACGGGTTAGCTTCGCCCTCAGCTGGTCCAGCATGTAAGTGGACATTGTGTAGGAAGGCTCGATCTCCAAAAGGCGGAACTGCTGCGTGGACTGCTGCAGCACGTCTAGTGCCCGATCAGATAACATGGTGGAAGATCGAATGCGGAGTCTGCGAAGGGCGGGCAGACCCTCCACCAAATGCATGACTGCTGCGTCTGTCCAGTATTCTGCCCGATCCAAAAGCATGACTTCGAGTTGGGGGCATGCCTCCACGATCGAGGCGATGCCTTCATCATCGAAAGCATTCCAGTTCAGTTCCAAGCTCCGCAAGTTCTCATGGCCGGACCACACACTTGGCAGCCCACCCAAACGCTGATGCAAGAGACCTTGGGAAAAAGCGCGCATGCCAAATTCTTGGTCGACTAGAAATGCGAACTCTTGCAGCTCTGGCCCCATCTTGCTCAGCAGGCGGACCAGAGCCTCATCCGGGTCTTCCAGCCGTCGCTTGCATCCGGAAAAGCGTGCCGAGCGTACATGGAAGACGCGCTCGTCCATTGTGGCCAAACATGCGATCACATCGTCTGACAGAAAATCGAATTGCAGGCTCTGCAGCGATTCCAGTGCCATCAAGTTTGCTAGCAACGGCTGCTGGCCAGGAATATCAACAAAAGGCGGGAGGAAGCCTTCCATGAATCGACTGCTGCCGCGGCTGGCTTCGTCGATAGAGATGGCAAGGCTCTGCACCAAGGGAACGGCTTCCACAATCTCTTGGATTCCGAGGACGGTACTTGCATCCAGCTGTGCACCATCCGGCCGGCGGCGGCACGGCGAGATCACGAGTGACAGCTGGGTAACTTTGCCCTCTGCCGCAATGAGCGTCATACAAAGTGCCTGCAGCAAGGATGGCGTGAAGACCGCTGACAGCGTTACGTCTCGGAGAACTGCCGATTCCACGCAGCCCAGCAGCTCGCAGGCAAAGGCTGTGGACTCTGCGTCGCCAAGCCTCAGGTCGAGCCGGCGCAAGCGCGGCAAAAAGAGGCCACTTGGTAAGGCCACTCCCAGGTTCTCGCGTTGGAACACGAGATCCAGGGTCAAAGCTTCTAGTCCACCACAGGCACGTAAGAGCAGAGTACACAAGCTATCAATCGACTTCTCGGCACAGTGCGTTCTGAAATGAAGCCGCGGCCAACATCTGGGGTCCAAGGAGGCTGCATGGAAGGTCTTGCACACCTTGGCACAGCAGTGCATCACTGCCAAGGGATCAGCGAAGCTCAGTGCGATTGCGATGCAGCTGACAGGAACGCGCTGCCGGCAGACCAGAGCTGGGCCCACACTCTCCGGGCCGTTGGCGGGCCCGGGAGGTACCGCGATGGACAGAAACCTCCTGAGTGCGTTTGTCCGGGGCCAGGGCTCAAGGGCAAGGAGGCAGCGTAAGTAGGCCTCGATCGCACGACCCTGGTCTCCCACCCATGCATTGTCCATGGTGAAGAACGGTGCCCTGGGGCAGGATGGCACGCGTTGGTAGCGTGCCGACATTGCTGCAGAGAGCAGATCCAGATCTTCATAACTTCGCCGAACCACCTGTCCTGGAGCGCCAGTGCTGGAAGGGGGCTGCACCATGAATTCAAATGCCACTCCGGCTTCCACGAATACATGCCCCACATAGGCTACCCCGAAGCCCTCGATGCCGTTGTCAGGTGCTGGCAGGGCTTGCGGGGAGTTCCCCATGGCTGCGCAGCACAACTCTGCTCAATCCGAAGCGTTGCACACGACCTGTCGCGGCTTTGAGCATCTGCTTAATATGGCAGCGGTTCCCAGGGACTTTCCGGCTGCTACTGTAGGTCGTCCCTCACTCCCTGCAGCCGAATCCAAGCATGACAAGAAGGTCGACTTGACTTGCAAGCTGAACTTAAAGCCCAACTCATATTCAAATCAAACCAGCCCTAACTCACGGGTGAGGACCTCAACCTTCAAACACACATCATTCATAGGTGCACGGTGTATGTGTCTCCGCCTCTTCGTCCTTGATGGCTCGCTGAGCCATCTGCCCTTGCGGCCAGCACAGAATCCAACATCATGCTACGGTATGCTATGTGCCGTGCGTGAGCCTGGGCTTTGCTGCGACCCTGGCAATTGAGGGCGAATCCATCTCCTGCACGCCGTACTTCTGTCTATCTTCCGACACTTCTGCACATCATGCGTTCTGATGTCACATCATCTCTATTTGAGATGCTGACGGCTCTGAGAACATGAGCCCGCAATTTAGTGCCAGGCCGGGCAAGGCAAGGACCCAGACCGACCGGCGCACATACATACTTGCACACATACACGGACAAGCGCACGCTAGCCCAAACACATACATGTGCGTATGCAGGTGTATATGCGCACACGCATGCCTGCCTGCCTGCATGCATGCATGCAAAAGCAGATATATATATATATATATATATATATATATACATATTTTTATATGCGTGTGTCTGCACACGTACACATTGTGTACACATACATAACTACCAACCTACCTCGGTATGCCTGTATAGGTATGCTACATATGTATCTGTCAGGGTCTCTCTATGTATCTGCACACTTGTCACTTGCCTATCGGTTGGTCAAGGTTCCGAGAGTAACTAAACCTTGCATGCATCTGGGACTTGCGGCCCTTTGCTTGCAATGTCCTGGTAAGTTGCAAGGGCAGCTGTGGCTGAATCGCAGCGCTCCTTGTGCCAGATGTACGTGCAAAAGCCAATCAAACTCCACGAGCTCTGCGGGCGCATGTACGCCAGACTCTGCTAGATCCAGCCAAGCAGCAAAGAACTCATTGCTTCTGGAGATGGAAGAGCCGGCCGAGGCAGAGGCCTCCACGCCAGTCATCGTCATCGCCCCTTTTACACTGGGACACTCCACTGCAGACATCTCCGCCTCGCCGCGTCCATCCAGGGCCTCGCCTCCGGTCTTGGAGGCACCGTGGTCGGGACCTGCCTCACATGCTTCGGGGGAGTCGGGAGAGTCGGCAGCTGCTGGAGCAGCGCAGCTGCCGCCGCTTCCCGAGCAGCCTGGAAGGCCCCACAATGGCCACACTGCATAAACTGCGCACCGCTCAAGTTCTTCTAGCGCGCCTGCGGGCTGACCCCTTGGCCCGTCCCTTCGACCCGGCGCCCACCACTTCGGTGGCTGCGCAAGATGAATGTCGCATGCCACGGCGAGGCCGGCGGCGGCCTGGCAAGCCATACTCGGCTGCCGACACGACAAAGCGTTCATCGCGGCATGTGGGGACTTTGCCCCTTCTGTGCCGTGAACGTGGGAGACCCTTGTGTTTTGACATCCTACAACCTTCCTGTCGTGTTTGCGGGCAGGCCTGAAGATCACCTCTTCCCTGTACTCGTCCTTAGCGGCAGCACCCCGCGAGAGTCACAGGCACTTCTGAACAGAACATGAATGTCGCTGCTTCTCGACGGTCCACACAACCAGAAACCCTCAGATTCGACTCCAAGGTTCAGGTGGATGCTGAACAAAAGCATCTTGCAATTCGCGCAGCTGGACGAAAACCTCGTTCATTGGTTGTGCCAAAAGCATCTGGCACTCTCCACATAACATCCCCACACTACATCAGGTCTCGGGGCCTTCTGGGCTCTCTGAACTTCCCTCGCCCCTGCGAAAAGCACTGGAGACAGAGTCAAGTTACAGGAGGTCCCCGGAGAGCCGCAGCACCTGGGGCGTTCGAGCTTCTTCTTCTGAAGATTTGAAGGCAAGCTGGCCAGTTGCGCTTTGCGCGACCCGTACGTAACATCGCGTTTGAAATGCGCTGGCACACGTTTGCGGTGCTAAGCCGCCTCCTACACGTCGCAAAATGTTGTGATGTGTTGGGACCTTGGCGACCTCTAGCATAAGCACACAACAAGCATTGACTTCATCAACGCTCCACCCCAACCCACCCACCCGGCCCGGCGCCTGCTCGCATGCGCGGCGGGATGGTCCTCCCCTTCCGCTGGGCTCGCGGTACCAAGGACACCCGGCCAAGCGCCTGCTGGGCTGGGCAACTGTTGTTCTGCAGCTGTGGACCCAAGCAGCTGACTCGACCTTGTCCTTCAGCCGCCAGCGCGGCGGCTTCGCTTGCTCGAGCTCCTGACGAAGTCGGAAGTTGACTTGCGGGTTTTTAATTTAATTTTGCCAGGTGGCCACGCTGTGCGGGGCTTCCGAATGACTTACGGGAGTAAAGGCTCGAGACCTTCTCCTTCAGGATCGACTAGCAGGTTCCTAAACCCTGAATGGTTCGGACCGAGACCTTGGAAAGCAATCTAGCCTGGAGTTTGGGAGTGAAGATCGGAGATTTAGACATCCGTGCATGTCCTGTCTGTCAGTTGTCCTTTTCTCAATGATGGTTTCACATCTCCACTTGCGTGCCGCAGTCCAAAGCCAAGCCAATTCAAACGAAGTTGTTTCCACGAACGCGGGGTTTTCTACTGCCGGCGATGCCTGGTTTCGCACTGTCGCAGGCCGACATCTCTACCACGGTGGATATGGTGGCGAAGCTTGCACTTGTAATGTTGACGAATCTTCCGTCCCATTGGCGGATGGCGTCCCGATGAAACCAGAATTAGTGGCTCCAGCACCCCAAGAGCAAAGTATATGCCTGTACATTCAAGCATGAAGCCCGAGCTGAGAACTCAAAGTTGCAGCCTGAAGCCCCAACCCAGCGCCTTCAGCATCAAATGGGAAATCTTCTGCTCCACGGATTTCTCGAAGGAGGCTCTCTCCGTGCGGGAGAGCTCACCTCCCGAGGCCCCGGATTCATTCAAGATGCAACAGGAAGTCAGGAAAGCATCCGCAACTACACTTCGGGCCATTTCGCGAGCATCCCCGAGCTCTCTTCATGATGCTGGCATCTCTGTCTCGTCATGTTAAACATCGCAAGGCCTTGCGACCTACACCCTGATGCAAACTCCCATCCTCAGCCCTTTACGCAAACTCTTGCTGACCGAGGGTCCGTAGGACAGCTCCTGCCCGTCGACCGGCTCCACTGCAGCTAAGCATTCTAGCTGCCGAGGCGGCGACAGGGTCGGTAGCCTTACGTAGAGTGGAAGGTCGGGGATCGAGACTCAGGGTATACGAAGGCATGCTGCCTGCGCGCTGTGCACAAGAAGTGGACGATACCTGAGCCGCGGCCTTGCTGCCGAAAGACTCCATGGTGGCCTTCAGCGAGTCTGCATCGAATCGAAACACTCCTTAGTCTGGCTCGGTACAGTGGCTCGCTCGCATTGGCTCCCTAGCCTGATAAGCACAAGACTGATGCAGCTCCTTAGGCCTTAGGACCGAAGGGCCGCAAGTTCTGCAGTGCAAGGTTCTGTCTTCGGGCGTCGGTGGTCGCCCCAGGAGATGGGACATCACGTCGTCAAGCGCTACTCTGACAGCCTTGCAGGCGCCAAGGTGAGCCGTCTACAGCACCCAACGACTTTGAGGACTGACAACGCCGTTCGGTGATTCTGAAGGTGGTAATAGAATGTCCTAGATGGCATTGATCTCTCCCAATTGTGGCAAAGAAACTGCCAGCTCCTCATCAGCGCTGGCCTGCCAGACAGTCGCACAGAAAGTTGCCGAAGTTTTTTCGAAAGCTTACGCAGGGCAGCTGCTTCACTTTGCTCAAGCAAATGCGACCAGCAACGGCAAGACAGCCGAGCTCCCCGCATCGCGCTCACAAGTGCCGGCCGTGACTGTGCGCCGCTTGGCAGGCGGAAGCTCCTTGCTGCGGGCGACACCCGCGAAAGCTGGTGGGTGCACGTAATGCGACAGACGACAGCCCGCTGACCCGCCACAGCCGACCATTGTGTGCACAGCTGATGCTGAGCTGACGAGTCCAAGCTGCATCTTCGCCTGTCAGCCGCCGCTGGCGCTTGCGACGGGGAAGTTCTTCCCGTCCAAGGTTCCGCCGGCGCACAAGGACACGCATGGCGACAGTAACGACTTTGCCTAGGACTAGGACTGTGGTCCGAGAAGGTTCAAAGCTGCTGAAGGGTAGTGTCAAGCTCTGCAGGACCACTCATGACTTTACTGGTATTCGGTGCATGTTTCTGTCAATGTTGCTTCGTTGCTTGCAGGATGTTTGCGCCATGAAGCGCAGTCGGCCGTCGTGTTTGTTCGCATGTTCATTGTTTTCACCATGCTGCGACTGCAACTTGCGAGCCACTGGGTCAACCAGGCAGGATGGCCAGGCTTCAGTCAGAACCTGCATGTCTGGTCTCCACGCAGGCAGATTTCGCACAGATGCGAGACAGAGCCCTCACCACAGCGGACCAGTCGGAGATAGGCTTTATTCCCAAGCTTTGCCCCGACTGCAAACCCTGAACACTGCCTTGGACTTGTGCTGTCCTCCTTGCAGGTCCTCCATATAGTACTTTTTGATCTCCTGCAGAAACAAACACAAATTTGGTAGATGTGGCGGAGTCACGACATTGGAGAAACTATAAGCCCGGAATTGCTACCGCACGTGTTTTCATGTATATGACAAGTGCCATCAGCACTTGGATATGGATATGGCTGGCGATTGCCTTATCATTGAACTGGGCTACTACAGCTGTGCTGCGCGGAGCTTTGTTAAGTACGCCTTGCAGCGTAGTACTCTAGCGAGCGGTGAGAGCCACAGCCTGCTGCAGAGGGCTGAAGGTATCTAGAGGCCATCCTCGGCACTCTGAAGCTCCACGTTCCGCGCGGCGTCGATCTCTTCGGCCATGCGCGCCGACTCCTTGAGCTGTGCGAACGACCCCATGAGATCTGGTGCTTTCCGACGACTTCGACAAAAGCCCTGGAGACAGACTTGGATGGAGAAGCGGTGGGAAGTCAATGGAAGTGCGCAGCCCCTTCCAACCTTATCTGGTTGTCACATGTTGTCACCGGTGGACGAATCTGCTACGAAAGCAAACACGTCCTAGCTGCCAACCAGATACAGGCTGTTTGGAAGGCATGAGCTGTCTTCGACGGAGGGTTCTGCAGAACTTGCGCTAGCCTCCAGGGCCCAACGGAGTTGCGCCTCTTCGTCAGCCTGCAGTGGGATTGGATCGAGAGCGGGTGGGGCAGAGGAGGTTACGACAACTCTCTGACATTGCTCTATGAAGAGTCGGGACAGAAACGAAATATCGTTAGATTGACGGTCTTCCCAAATCCGCCGAGCAGGCAAAGGGGCCTCGAAGGTGGCCTGTGACTCGAGGAGCGCCTTTGAGAAGTCTTGCTCCTGTCGTGCACTTGAAAGTGATGTTTCTTGGGGGCTAGGCCGGTGTACTGGTCCCCTACAGACTTGCTACCTGAAGATATTGTCTGAGGTGCAAATCTTGGACCATCCCCGAAGAAAAGATGGATCCGCGGTATTCTCTTGCCCATCCCACACAAGTAAAGCTACCTTGTCTCGGCAACCGATGATTTAAAACATCAAGATGGTCTGCCTCGGAGAACTGCTGATGCTCGGCCAAAGAATTCAGCCAATTCTTCATCACCGTCTGGCGCAGATCATCCGGGCAAGGCTTGCGTGTTGCCCCAGCTTGCAGCATGTACCGACAGGAAGATCCCGTCGCATCTCGAAAAGCTCAATGCTGCAGTGAGCACGCCTCATCGTAGTTGCTGTATCCGGATGCACCTTCGCGGTCGTAGAAAGTCAAAAGCTCAGCCACACCAAATCACTCCGGTCATCAGTGAGGTTACCCGACATTCCGACAGTACCTTTAGGCCTTTAGGCCTGGCATGCCACACACAAACTTCTCGCAGGGCCGCAGAAAGTGCCTTGACGCGGGCTCGAGGGAGGTGGATTTCGTCCAGTCCAGCCGCCGGAACTGGGCCTGGTCTTCTTTTGCGGCACCACAGATGTTAATCCTTCCGGACTACGTCATGCCGCAAGAAGCCCTACCTGCTCCACCATCCCTGCAGGCTATAGATCAGCTCTGGAACCGCCGAAGCTTGAGAACTAGACCATTGTCGATCTGAAGTCGCATTGAAGGCCATTGGATTGGCCTGCAGATGCGCAGGCAGCAAATATGGAGGAAGCAGCGATGAATCTTGGATCAGCATGAGGGCTCCCAGCAGACAACTCTCCTCGGATCCGTTTGCGCAAATTGTGCTTGCATGCACCTGTTGGCGGAAGCCGCTTTGCAGGCTTTGCGCAAAGGGCCTCAAGCAAAAGACATCACGGAAGTGCAAGCAAACACTCGCACACATGGATGCCTGTTACTTTATTCCAGAAGCTTTTTATTTATGTATGTATGCATATTATGGATGTACAAGTACTTATTTGCGGAATGTATGTATGCAGGTAAGTATGTACATGAAAGATCTCAGAACCACACGAGCCACGGCCACCGAAGTCGAAGTGCCGCATGTCCTCACGCATACCACGGGCTTCGCAGAACGAGGTTTGCAAACAACGGATACTATCCTGGCTCCACGGCGACATCAAAATTCTTGTAGTTTGCTCTCAGATTCTTGAAGAATCCGGACCCCTGTCGCAGCAGAAGCCTGGTAGCCGCGTGCAGCTGGCAGCGGCCGATCCTGGCATGCTTTAAAGCAAAAGCCCTACACGAAGTCCTGCTTGAGATCAAGGAGACTAGGACCGTAGGAGGCCAACAAGTCTCTGTGAAATCTTTCGCTTCAAGCCCTGAAGTCGACCAAAAGCCTGCATGTGATTGCATACATTGCATGTGCCTGTCTGCACAGGTCCCTGCCTGCGCAGAGGGCCTGGGTGCCGGAGTCGGCGCAGGGGCCTTGGGGCGCTGCACGGGGCGGCCACCTTTGTCGCCTCGGGCGGTCCGAAGCTGCGGGGACTCTACGCTTCCGTAGCAGTGAAGCCTAATAGTCGCAATCCGAATTCTTGGGAATGCTTGAAGCGAGGAACGATGACTTGTCCAGGTGAGATCTGACGTGCAGAGGGAACACACAGCTCCACTGATTATGTAGCTTGGCACGACACTTCCGGCATTCGTGAAAAACCGCGGCTGAGATGAACTGCGTGACTAAGAGCCCGGCAGAAGAGCCCAAACATTTGGACTACTGAACCGGGGCCTTTCACCTCTGGCGGACAGAGTCGCTCCAGGTGGGCGACTGGAGTGCAATAATTGAATGCGCCTGGACGACAGATGGTGCCAGTGGCACCTCATCGCTGTCGTCAAGCACCTCCAATCCAAAGCAGCAGCCGACGCGACAACGGTTGCCACGTTGCCAAGGGCAGTAGAAGCACAAACCGTCGGGCATCTGTCGCCATGTGCTACCAGAGAAAGCACGGGCCTTGCCATTGGATGCGAAGGATAGCTTCTTGTGGTACAGAACCTCTCCTGCAAGCATTGAGTTCCGTGATGGATCTGTCAGAGAGGGCAGATGCCACAATGCACTCGACCACAAGTTCCAGAGTTTCCGGCCTTTTGCTCGCTCACCGATATGATCCTTCCAAGCCGCCAAAGCTCTGATGGTGAAACAACTCTTCTTCCACTCGGCCATGCTCAGAGCACTTTCTTTCTTTCTGCCGGGATTAGGGGTCACGTCGTGACCCGCAGGCGCTTGGCCCGCCCGACCGCTTCTGGTTTTATTGAGCGGCCGGCTTTTGGGGTCCTCATGACTACGGCAACGACTGCACGGCTTGCTCTGTGTTTCTGGGTTGGCACCCCCGGTCCCCGAACGTACACACACACACACACACTCTCTCTCCCTCTATCTCTCTCTGTTTGCTTTGCTCGGGGTGTGAGGCGGGAGCAGTCCTCCCGCCCCGCGCAGTTGCGCTACCCCATCCACTATTTTCTGTGGACGGGCTCGGCTGTACAAGGTGACTGGTCCCCTGTTGTTCAGGGTAAGGGGGTGGGTTCCCCAACTTCGGAAAGCAAGCAGGTAGTAAAAGACTCGGGTACCCCACTCCACTGGAAACGAAGGTGTTGTGGGCTGTGGCCCTCGGGCTTTTGAGCAGACATGTAATACGTAGTACGAGCGGTGCCTCGGGTGCCCCCTCCCACTGTCTCTCTCTCTTTCTTTCTTTCGCCAGGGCTAGGGTGTAGGGGTTTTGTCTCTCTCTCTCTCTCTCTCTTTCTTTCGCCAGGGTTGTGGGGCAGAGGATGTTCTCCCCTACCCCGCGCTCTCTCTCTCTCTCTCTCTCTCTCTCTCTCTCTCTCGCTCTCTCTTGCTTGCTACGCAGGTCGTAAGGGTTGCTTATTCTCTGCCTCTTCTCTCTCTCTCTCTCGCTCTCTCTCTTCTCTCTTTCTCTCTCTCTCTCTCTCTCTCTCTCTCTCTCTCTCTCTCTCTCTCTCTCTCTCTCTCTCTCTCTCTCTCTCTCTCTCTCTCTCTCTCTCTCTCTCTCTCTCTCTCTCTCTTCCTTTCTCTAGAGCCGTTCTCTCTCTCTTGCTCTCTGGTCGCAGAAGGGCCTTCAGCGCCGAGGCCGTGATGCTCTCGGCTCCTGCGCAGCACCACAGCTCTGGAAGTGATGCAGCCTGTGCCTTCATGCCAATGGACCGATTCCTGTTGCCAGCGTCCTTGTGGCAATTCCCACCGGTACGACTTCTGGAGGATCTGGGCATCAGGAACGAGACATCGCGGGCTGTCAGTGTTGGCTAGCCGGTCTTGGCTGAGGTCGCTCGCCCGCCGGGCTGAAAGCTAGCTCTGACTTTCTACTTCTTACAAACTGAGCGCAGGTTGCCGGGCTTTAACAGTAACACCAATGATGAATCTCGGCATGCACGCTTTTCACTGCACAGGAGCATCAACCTCATCTTTGAATCAGAAGCTGACCTCCAACGTTAGAGCGGCCATGGAGACTAACGACTTGTCTTCACAACAGAACAGGCAGTGCAACTGTGCAAAGGAATGAAAGACGTGGCCTGCCTAGTTTGAAACGGAAGCACGCTGCGTGCTGAAGTCGTCCCTAAACGAAACTCACTGGTGACGATCCTTGCACAATGAGGAAGAACTGTGCCATTGGTACCGATCCAATGTTCCAGGCATGCTACGATGCTATAGGTTTGAGCCGCTCAAAGCTCCAACAGCTCCGACGTAGCATCACAACCGGATCAACCCTGCCAGGATGAGACTGCAGTGGACAACATTGCGCTTGCATGTGTTTGCGCTCCCTGCGCGCTGTTTTTGCACGCGGACGGCTCCCGGATCAACACTGAGGAATGCACAATAGCTGACCATCAGCCCACGGTTCGTGTGATCCTGAAACTATCTGCAAGCACCGGCTTATCCTTCATTAACCCAGAATCCCACTCAAGCCCCTCTACGAGTTTCCCGGACATGTGATCGAACCCAAAAAGTGTTCACGCAGGTCGCGACTGCACCACGACAAGGGCTCGTCCTCGCTCCTGGCATTGCCGGTAGCGGGTACGTAAAGGGGTGCGGGCTCTAGTTTGCTGAGTTTACAAGCTTGCCGGTAGAGATCGGTAGAGTATGCACCGCAGTCTTTTCCTTTTTGCCTTCATGGCCTTTGCCCCGCTGTTTGGACCCAGAAGCCTTGCATCACCGAGCTCCGTGTGCACAGCACCACGAAGCGCGGGTGCAGGGCCACCGGATCACCAAAACTGTTGTGTGGCCGCTTTTGGCGCAAAGCGCTGTGGCTGAGTTGGCTACAACGCTGCGAGGACCAAGAAAAGCTGGATAAAGCTGGCCTGCCTCACTATCATCCCTCTTCACCCATCGCCTACATGTAGCAGCTAATGTTTTATGCGCACTTTGAGTGGCTTCTCGCAGCTCGACACAATGAGTCTACACAGTGCACATCAGAAGTTGCGAACTTTGACCATCATCTCGCCCGATGTGTTCAAAGTGCGCTCTTCCACCAACAGCTTGCCTTTCTCCAGCAATTTGTCGACGGCATAGGCCAAGTCGTGATGAATGACAAGGCAATTCGGGCTCCGGATTTCCACTAGCCTCTTGAACACGGGCTTGCCACCCCGCTCGGTGATGTTCTTTCGTCCTTCTGACTGGTATCGCTCGTTGTTATCGCCAAGGATTGCTGATTTGAGGCCGCCGATGAGATCTCTGAGCTCGGAATTGGCGATGAGGTCACGCAGGGTCCTGCCATGTGCAGTTGCGACAAGCTGCACCCCACGCTCTCCGATGGTGCGGGCAGCCCTGGCTTCCCCCAAAGTGCCGATTTCATCCACGACGATGACTTGGGGCCCCATGTTTTCTAGGGCGCGGCCCATGGCCAAGCGTCGAGCCTCACTTCGATCGACCCGCTCTGCGGAGTGCGCGGCATCTTTCCAAGCTTCTCCCACAGCTGGATGGCAGGTGTCCCCGGAGCCAGCGATCTCCCCACTGGGATCCACAATCACGACCACCTGGTCCTTCGACAGGTCTCCTGCGCATGCACGCAGCAGGGTCGTCTTGCCAACCCCCGGTGGGCCCAAGAGCAAGAAAGAGCTTCCGTCAGCGATGATGTCCTCGATCACGGAAGCAAGCATGCGCGAGGACCTTCCCACTCTCATGGTGATGGTGACCGGATCCCCGTTCTCATTGCGAGTTACAGAGATTCTGTGCAGAGTGCGATCGATGCCTGCCCGATCTTGCCGATTGAAGCGGTCCTCTCCGATTCGGTCACAAACGATCTTGTGAATATGCTTGCGGGAAATCAGGGTGTCGGCAATCGCAGCTTTCCGTAAGCCTCCTTCAAGGACCGAACGCCAGCGAATCTCGATGTCGCGCCCCACGCTCAAGACGATCTCCACAACGTTGCTGCTCCCCTCCAATCCATTGATGAATTCGCGCACGTTTTTCAGCGGACTTTCAGGCAGCAAGGTGATGAGTTTCTCGAACTCTTCGTCGTTGTCCCTGGAGCCGGTGTTCTCGTCAGCCTCGTTCTGGTCTGCACTGCCTTTGCTGTTAGAGTACAGACCAGGTCAACTGAGGAAGAGATGTCGTCCCGTCAACTTCTGTTGAGCAAAGCACTGCATTTGCTGGGTGGCGGACCAATGCACAGCTTCCCGTCGATGAAGTGGAATTGGAGCTCGCAGCCTGACAGCACAGCATGAGGCATGTCATGGCTAGGTTGTGATGTCCGACCCCAGAATAATTCTGGTTGCGGGGCCTGCGGGATAAGCGCCCACGTGCTGTCCCGGCCAGGACCGAAACTCCTGCCAAGACTTGGCACTCCGCAGCAACTGCTTTCGAAGAAGCGAGCTCTAGCTGCATTGCGAGTGGCAGGGCAGACTGGCAGACTGTCGGCCATTCTTCTACATCTTGCTTGAGCGGCTGTCAGCACAGAAGCTCCTCCAGACGTGCTTGGCAAGCATTTCGAAATCGACTGGCTTGGTTCCCCAGGGCTCCGGACATCTCCTCTGAAATGTTGACGAGTGCTTCTGCAACCTCTGCAAGAAGCTCCGGTCTCCAGGCAGAGTCAGCCTCGGAAGACGAGCCGCCGGCCTCAGGCACCATGATGTCAAAGACCCTCGGAGTTTTGGGCTTTTGCAGCACTGCTCGTTCTCGGAGCGCATTTTCCAGCTCGTGGCTATATGTGCGTGCCATCTCCTCGAGCTGCACGGGTCGCTGCTCCTTCGCTTGAAGACGCTCCCAGGCCTCCACGGTGTCGAAGCAAGCCTCCAGCTGCACCTTGTATTCCAAGAGCAGATCAGCCAGCGGACGGCAATCGTGACAAACCTTCACAATGTTCTGGCTCTCCAAAACCTCTTTGAGTGGACGTAGCAGCTCGCTGAAGAGGGTCTCTGTCGGACATTTCTCCGACAGCGATTCGACGTCCACCACAAGAGGCTCCACATCCGAATCTGCACAGATGGCGATGTACTTGAAGTAACCATCTCGCAGTAGCTGACCAGAGACTGCAACTCCGACAACACTACCCTGAAGGGATTTCGCCCATTTGTCGGTCAGCCTTTGTTGAACATCCTCTTGCACTGCTATCACGACGGGCCCATCCTCCTCCTCCCGTGCCTCGTCGCCCTCCTCCAGAAGAGCATCCTGAATGCCAGCCAAGATGGAGCCATCTTGAACAGTTCGATGAGGCTTCTCCTGATCTGTATCTGCAGATGCATTTACGCTCGTGGCTTTCTGTGCATTGAGTCGCTCCCTGTATTTGTTAATGCTTTCCTTCCTTCCGCGACCCAAGTGGAAGACCTCGAAGTCTGCGAGCTTTCCCAGCTCTGTCAGCTTCTGCTTCACCTCTGGATCTTTACTGACGCGGGACAGCCACGAAGATCGGGAACATGGCAGGATTTTATCAGTTCTTGTAATCGCTGCAAGGCGATCTGGTTGACTCTGGCGACCGATGATCGGCGAGCCAAGCACAAAGAGGGCCCCATCACTGAGAGCTGACAGCTGATCCCGTAAATCGCTGTGAATGCGCTTCTCAATGTACCGGTCTCGAGATGTCTTGTTCCGACCTAAAGCAACAGTGACCGGGCGGCTGTCTCGTTGCTCCATGTGCCAAAAGTCAATCATCTGCTTGCTAGCTTGTTCCTCGCGGCCCAGTTCCAAGAGCTCTTGGTCGGAGAAGGAGCTCACCGACTTCCGAATGTCATCGCAGATCTTCTCTTGAATAAACCGCTCGCGACGCATGGAGAAGCAACGGGTCCCCGAGGCTTCCGAACCTTTGAGGCGGTCTATCAGCGTGGACTGCTCCGCAAAGGGGTGATTACCAACTATATACAGCTCCACGTCGGACAAGTGGTATATCTCGGAGTGAAGCGATCGATGGACGTGCTTCTGAATGAACTCGGCGCGATTTGGCAGCTCAGGTATCCCACACAAGTTCTGATTGGCGTCACCGGGGTCTCCAGTGCTGCATGATGCTGCTACCATCAGACTGTGTCGGTTTCGGGGACCATCTCCAGCCAGTCTGAGTCTCTTGATCACGCATAACGTGGCAGCGACACCGCAGGCATGAATACGGACAGATCCTGCAGGACACACAGATCTTTCTCCGAAGCAGCAGACACCAATAGCAGGATATGAACCTTGCAAGAAACATCGCGAAGACAGCTTCGACCCTGCTTTATCGGCTGGAAAGAGTGTCCTGCTTGGCCTCGCCTGTGTCCCGGAGCATGCCCAAATCGTGAAGGAGGCATTGGCCTCGTGCCCGGTGGCGCTGTGTGTGGAAGAGAAACCGAAGCCATGATGTGGATATTGGAAGGCAGTTGCGGCCTTGGCCCTGAACCAAAATGACTGCTGAGAGCTGGAAGTTTTGCATCTACGAAAGCAAGCACACCCAGAAGGCAGACGATGCTGTGCCTCGGGCTGTCATCGCTGAACTGTACATGAGCATCAACAGCATCGCCGAATCAGAAGTGGCCTCCAACGGTAGAGCGGCCGAGTTGTCTTCACAACAAGCTAGGTCCACTTGCTCAAAGCCTTTAACATGCTGCCCGAACATCGTGCCGGTACACCGATCCCATATTTCAAGCATCCCACGGCGCTACGTCTGAGCCACTCAATTCACAGCCGGTTCGGCATTCGTGTGATATCCCAACAGGATCATGCTTCCAAGATCTTCCAAGACTCTGAGCTAACTGTTGTTTTCCTTCTGCAGCTTGCAGAATCCTACACGGGTCCTCCTAGATGTGAGGCGGACATGACGATTCTTTGTGCTTCGTGTGCGCTGTTTTTGCGCACGTAAAGCTCCCAGAGCAAAGCTGAGGAATGCGCTAAAGCTTTGGACGACCAATCTGCTGTGCAGACAGTGGGAGTGCTGAAAGCTCTTTCCTCGGCCTGTCTGCGCCTTTGGAACTTCGGAAATCCAGGATGAGCGCACCATTCTCAGACTTGCGCCGGTCAGGTGCTTACTGCTTTCTTAGACTCTTAGACTCTTCCGCCTCACTGCTAGGTGCTCCATTACATGCCGGTTGGACGCAAGTCCGTGGATGCGACCCTGGCAGCCGCTTCCTGAGATCCAAGCTTCAATCCTTTGGGCGAAAAGTGGCTAGTTCGCGAAGCCTGTCGGGAAGCGGCGAAGCAACGGTGCTAAGTGCAGGCCCACGGCGTGGAGCTTTCGTCCACAGCCGGGACAATTTCAGCCAAGGCACTGCGGCATTAACATCAAGGCTTGGCGGTAGGGTCTGCCACGTCCATGCCTGCCGAAGTGGAGAACATATCACTTATACATCTCTGCGCGGTGCCCCTGAGGCTTGCAGTCTCCCTGAGCTGAGTGGCAGGTGCCAGGGTGGCTCGTACTCCAACTTCTTCCCTCTTCCCATAACAAAATCCCAAAACGCCTTCTCACTGATAGATGCGCTGCAAAGCGCTGAAGCCGCGGCGGCAGATTGGACACGTTCTCACCTCCAGCGTGCTGAAACCCTCGCTACGCCTTCGCAGAAACCCTAAGACCTGCATCCTGGAGCTCCCCGCGCAACGCTGAGCATGTGTAGGAACCCGGCCGCTCGGTGAGCCCCTGCCACAGCAGACTCCGCACGATAAGCCTGCATCATCTTGACTCAATGCAGCGTCGCAGTGCGGGGATGCCACGGGAGCAACCTGCCCTTACCCCTGCAGGAAGCCCTTTGAGGCTCTCGTTGTTTGGCTTCTGTCTTGGCCACCCATGCAGGCCTCGGCACAGTCGGCGCAAACCGCGAGGTGGCCGTCCCCGGTGTCCGCGTGCATGAAGGCACTGGCAGGCAAGCACACGGACTTAGAGCCTTGTAACAGCACACAAGAGATTGAAGCTTCAACTGTGAACCCATGAAGGACAAGCCCCAGTCCACGAAGAAACTCTCGACGCGAAAATGTTGCACTTGTATCTCACCTGAACAAACCATATCTGACAAACGAATACAAGCAGGCATACTCTACATGCAGAAGCAAGCAGAAAGTTCCTGCAGTTACCTGCTCAAAAGGGAAAGCGAGCAGGGTGCGGCTGGGTCCGCTTGCGCTCCAAGCAGACTACACAAAGCTCCTCGGCCGGTGCCTTGGGTCGGAGCTGCAGTTTGAAGTCGCAGTTTTGAGTGTTCACGTGTGTGAGGATTTAGGTACATATTCATGATGTCCTGACCTTTAGCATGTTGTCGGCCAGCTCAGGGCGTGGCCGAAGGTGCTGCCTGGTCTTCGCCCTCGCTGTCCAGGACCACGCGCCGGGCCTGTTCCAGGACAGGTCGAGGGTTAGAGTTGCATCGAGAAGGCGGATCGAAGGACCGTCAGCAGAGTTGAGGTTTTGGGTGGCATCCGTCTGGTTAACTCTAGATTTTTGCGCTGTCGCTGAGTGGCATCTTTGCAGGAAGAGGAAAGGCAAGGGCTATCAAGGGCTTAAACCTTACCACGTGTGTTCATTGAGTGCACATGTGTTCAAACTGCGTCGCCTTCGCAGTCCACCCGCCTGGACCCAATTTCCGCACCTGCCGAGCTGCAACTTCATGTAACTTCTCAAACATGAGGTCAGGCTACTCTCTGCTACATTTCCCCTTAATGGATAAGTCGCGCAGGCGCACCAGGCTCTGCGTCTGACGCTCGTCTCCGAACGTCAACTCGTAGCTGCCCTCAGGCATGCCACCTGTACTCGCAAACACTGGGTCCGCACACAAAGTGCGGAGATTAGCTTCGGTTGAATCTGTGCTGAACACAATGTGGCTGGTGAGGCTTGTGGAGTTGAACATTGGAGAGCAGGAGGTTTGGAGATCATAGGTGCCTATGCTGATTTGCAGCCTGAGCAAGTCGGCCGAGACTGCTGGATGCCTTCAAGGGCGTGCGGAAGTTGGAGAGCTACCTGCAAAAGGGTTCGAGTGCATCAGCAGAGGGTGACCGTTGAAGCACTTGCCCATCGACAAGCAACTAGCTGACTAACTGCTTCAAGGCACATGCACGGCGAAGTGTGCAACTACATCACACATGCAGGCAGTCGGCATGAGGTCCATCGCCTTCCGGTCCGAATTAAAAACAAAACACTGACAGAGCACAGCAGATACCAAACTGTGGCAACTCGAAGTTTTTTCAAGCAACGAAACACAGATCTGCAAGGTGCCCCGGTGTCAACTCGGTTGACAACAACCACAACCCGAACTCCAGCCTTTGGGTGACCCTCGAGCCACGCAGCTTCAATGCTCTCAATGAGCTCCTGCATGCACTGCGGCTTTGCACAAGAGCACCTGGTAAACACCCCCCTCTTCTCCTGTGGCAAGCTCGTCCACCTGGGTGCTTGTCGTGCCGCGGTCGCAGGCCTGGCATTTCGATTGCCCGAACCCGCCGCGGGCGTAAAAGACCAGCGTCTGATTCACCAGCCTGGACCAGATCTCCCAGGTTGGCCGCAGCCGCTCACCGTCTCCGGACATCTGGGCAAAGAGCAAAGCGAAGGGAGAAAAAAGCGAAGCTCAAGCTCCCACCCCGAGGTGTTGGTCTCCCTGAAGCTCGACATCTCGGGGCCCCCGCCAAGACCACCAGTGGCTCCTGTCGCGCTTTCAAGTCGCGGTTACCATGAAAGCACTCAGACACCTCTCGCAACTTTTCTTTTGCGACCAGGATCACGCGAGGCCGCGTGACCCCCAGCTGCTGAAGCCAAACATGGCGGGATTGCACTCATCACCTGACCACCAGACACATGTGCCTGGCAGGCAGCACAGAGAAAGTCAGATCTGCGGCCTGCAGGGCAGATCGCACGGCTACACACAGCCCTTCCACCAAACCCGAAACATGAAGGCAGTGCCGCCACGGTGGGATCCATATTGACAGCCTCAGTATGCCGTAGGGGCTTAAAGTCTCCGTGGTACAATGTAGAAACAGTGAATGCAGCGAGGTCGAGTTAGCCAAGAAGCGAGTCGCAGCGACATCGGGACATGAGGCGGCAGAGCTACCTGGCCCCAAGACGAAAGTAGCTTCTCCATCAGAGCTTCATAGCCCAATTAAGCTTCCGCAATCTCCCGTCAGTCGAACTCTGGAGCCAATGTGTGCCACCCCAGCTCTTGCCTGCAACCTGCTGGTCGTCACCTCGCATGCGTGCTCGTTCATGTCAAGCAGGAACGGCACAAGTCTCAAGGGCAGTGCAAGATCGGCCATGTTCGAGCAGCATGGCCGAAGCTACCAAATCGAAACTGACGCAGTCCGGGCTCGCTGCCTGCGCTGCGAGAACTGCCCGGAAGACCTGTCCGGAACCTGTCTCGCCCAAGACCCTCTGATGCATGCACACACGCACGCGTACCCGAAACATCCATCGGTGCATTCCGAAGTCAAGCAAAGGGAGCTTCTGATCATGAACACGGACTGCAGCACTTCAGCCATTTTCTCCTAGGACTGCAGGTTTCCATTCCTGGAGCAGGATTTAGCAGGGATGGCTTACAGAGGCCGACTGCTTGCTTGCGCTTTTCAACGCCCTCATCACGGACTGATCAGAAGCTGCCGATGGTTTCCACTCACGGCCTGGACGCCGAAAGAAGCAGAGGACGTCTATGGAGGATGGAAGAGTCCTGCAGCTTGTTCGGATCAGAAGTCGTTGCAAAACTGGCACAGTGGCTGTGTGCCCTCAGACTGCTAAGACCTGACATCGATGTCGTAAGCCATCAGGCACGCTTCTCAGGAGCTCACCCAGAAGAGAGCCGCTGAACTCCACGAGCCTGGGTTGAACACAGAAGTGCGGACATCTGCGCCTCAACACTGCTGGTTAAGGCACATACCGCATACCATACCGGACAAGCAAGATGGGTCTCCCCACAGCAAGCCGTGATCTGCCCATTCCCTGTGCAAATTCTGACCTGTTAATTGGGTACCCTCCTGCTCCAGGCACCAGAACCTCAAAGAGAAGAGCCTCACAACTAAGATGACATCAAACCATCCCCGTCCACCGGACCAAACCGGCCTGGGCTGGTGTGTCACGATCTCTCCAGAGAAGCAGCGTCTGAAGCCATGTGCCTCAAGGGCTTTGGCAATTCAAGCGTCGCTGGTCTCCTTCTCTGGCTTGGCGCTTTGCTGGCTTGTCGCCGCTTCGAGTGTGTTGTCTCCGTTCGCCCGCCCCCATCTTGCGGAGTCTGCTGAGACAGAGACAGGTCCGGTCCCTGAACGCACCCTTGATGAGGACCACGCTCGCATCCAGGTCTGCAAAGCGCTGGGCCGAGGAGGCTGCAGGCCCCAAAACCAGCAGCGACTCCTCACTCCTGGCAATGTGTTCGGAGGGTGCTGTATGACACTCTGAGGATTGCCGGCAAGGGGTGCACAGCTGTGCAGCCTTTTCTTTTGCCTTCTCCATGCGACATGTTCGACTTCGCTGGGACCCAGGAAGAAGCGTTCACCGAGCCCTTACGTGCACGTGGCGGCATCTGCAAAGGTCTGGGAAAAGAGCAAATGGGTCCACCACAACTGGGGCTTGGCTGATTGCTTGGAAGGGTGTGTGGCAGAGCGCAAGAACCGCGAAGCACTGGGTGGAGCTGGCCTGCCAGCATCTGCTTATGTGGAACAGACTTCCAGTCCGTTCTTGCAGCACAAGGCATAAGCCGTCAGAAGCCTCTATCGGCCAAGGCGTCTGTAGGAAGAGTATACCCGACATTCAACTCTCTGACCCACTTTTTGGATGTGACAATTGAGCCAACCCACAAATGCTGCTGCGCCGGCTGGCGGTCCGTAGCGGTCAGTTTGAAACCCAAACGAAAGCTTCAGGCCCGGAGCATCAGAATTTTCGAGCTTTGACCATCATCTTGCCCGATGTGTTCAAAGTGCGCTCTTCCACCAAGAGCTTGCTTGTATTCAGCAATTGGTCGACGGCATAGGCCAAGTCGTGATGAATGACAAGGCAGTTCGGGCTCCGGATTTCCACCAACCTCTTGAACACCGGCTTGTCGCCCCGCTCAGTGATGTTCTTCCTTCCTTCCGACTTGTATCGGTCGTTTTTATCACCAAGGGTTGCTGTTTGGAGCCCGCCGATGAGACCTCTGAGCTCGGAATTGGCTATGAGATCATGCAGAGTCCTCCCGTGTGCTGTTGCGACAAGCTGCACCCCACGCTCTCCGATGGTCCGGGCGGCATCGGCTTCCCCCAACGTGCCGATTTCATCCACAACGATGACTTGGGGCCCCAGATTTTCCAGGGCACGGCCCATGGCCAAGCGCCTCGCCTCACTTCGATCGACCTGCTCGGCGGAGTACGCGGCATCTTTCCAAGCTTCTCCCACAGCTGGATGGCAGGTGTCCCCGGAGCCAGCGATCTCGCCGCTAGGATCCACAATCACGACCACCTGGTCCTTCGACAGGTCTCCTGCGCATGCACGCAGCAGGGTCGTCTTGCCAACCCCTGGCGGGCCCAAGAGCAAGAAAGAGCTTCCGTCTTGGATGATGTCCTCGATCATGGAAGCAAGGATGCGCGAGGACCTCCCCACTCTCATATTCACGGCGACCGGATCCCCGTTCTCGTTGCGAGTTACAGAGATTCTGTGCAGAGTGCCATTGATGCCTGCTCGACCTTGCCGGTTGAAGCGGTCCTCGCCTATTCGGTCACAGACTATCTCGTCGATGTGCTCGCTGGAAATCACGGTGTCGGCAATCGCAGCTTTCCGTAACCCTCCTTCCAGGAGCGCACGCCAGCGCATCTCAATGTTGCGCCCTACGCCCAGGACGATCTCCACAACGATACTGCTCCCATCCAATCCATTGATGAACTCGCGCACCTTCTCTACCTGCCTCTCGGGCAACAGTGCGATGAGTATCTCGAACTCTTCGTCGTTGTCGCTGCTTTCTTCAGAGCCGGTCTTCATGTCGATCTCGTGGTCTGCACTGCCTTGGCTGCAGAGTACACGCCTTACACACGTTTGATCCTAAGCCGACACACATACCTAGCATCCCAGCCTAGTTAGACGTCCATGCACGTGTGCCCCGACCAGGACCGAAACTCCTGCAACGACTTAGTCTGAAGCCGCAGCTGCATTCAGAGCTGCTGCTGATTCCTAGACCGCCCCGCTGCGGCTCCTCATTCTCCTCCTCATCCTCCTCGTCGTCCTCCTCTGCCTGGTCGCCCTCTGCCCCGAGAGCATCTTCAGCGCCTGCTAAGCTGGAACCATCTTGAACATCTGGCTCAACCTCATCACCATCTTCAGCCGCAGGCTTCGAAGTCGCCTCGTTTTTGAGTAGCGCCAGCGCAGATAAGTACTTACCAATGTGCTTCGCCTGTCGACCCAGGCTGGAGACCTGGTGGTCTGTGAGATTCCCCAACTCCGTCAGCTTTCGCTTCACCTCTGGATCTTTGCTGACGACGGAAAGAAAGGAAGATCGGGAAACGGGCAAGAACTTGTCAGCTTTGGCAATCGCTTGAAGAGCACGTGAATCGGGGAGACCGATCATCGAGGAGCCAAGCACAAACAAAGCCCCGTCACTAAGATCTGACAAGTGGTCCCGCATGTCGCTGGGAATGCACTTCTCAATGTAACTGGTTCGAGATGTGTTCAACAGTGCCACGCATGCATCTGGACTGGCCACAGTGCGTTGTTTCAAGAGCTCCTGATCGGACACATAGCTCAGCCTCTTCCGAAGCTCCTGCTTCTTCTTCTTCTTCTTATTCTTCTTCTTTGTCATCTTCTGCGCAATGAACTGCGCACGACGCATGGAGAAACAACGCGTTCCAAAGGCTTCCGAGCCCTTGATGCGCTTGATGATTTCGGATTGCTCTTCGAGGGAGTTGTTCTTCGGGGCGTTCTGCACAAGGATGATCAGCTCCAGGTCGGACAAGTCGTAGATGACTGAGTGCAGCGACTGGTGCACGTGCTTCTGAACGTACTCTGCACGGGTTGCCAGCTCAGGGATCCTACACAATCTTCCTTCTCCAGTATTACCAGATGCTTGTACGGTTGGACTGCGTCGGTCGTGGCGGCGATCTCCAGCCGGTCTGAGCCTCTCGACTGCACAAAGAGCGGCAGGGACACCAAACGCAAGGACTCTCCCAGATCCTGCCAGACATCTGCGGAGGATCCCGCCCCAGCAGAGGCTAAGATGGGCAGGCATGCAGAGTGCAAAGGCAGCATCAGTTCTACTTTCTATCTTTTTAGGCATGTCCTGTGTGCGGTTGCCGCCGTGCCTTGGTATGTCCCAATCGCAAAGGAGGCATTGGTATGGTACCTGATATTGCCACCCGTGAATGAGCCGTGGAAGCCATGATGTGGACGCTGAGAGGCGCTTCCATGGGGGCCGGATGCGATTGAAAAGCCAACTCAGTGCCGGTAGCTTGAAGCTAGATCTGCGGATGCTGTTTCAAGAAGAGGCTCTCAACTTCCCTACATTTCCCAATGCAGCGCAAAGAACCGTCGAGTAAAAGCTCTGTACCTGAACCCATGTGATGTAAGAGCTGTACGGCAACACCCAAGAATTTATGCCGAGAGGTGCCAGCTCGGCACGGGCGGAATGAGCTCTGCAATGGAGGGCGGAAAGACCTGCGAAACAGCAAATATTCTACACAATCTCGAAAGTGCTGGAGGCGAGCCCAAATCCGGTGATGCTGATCTGACTAGAATAGTGAGTACAAGGTGGGAGGCTGCCAGTGTTCAAGGAAACAAACCTCTGCTTTTTGCAGGATGGGCAAAGTGCCTCTGGGCGCACCTCCAGGGTCAGTACCTCGCTACTGCTTGTGAAAAACAGGGCGCATACCGCATACATTCAGTTGCAGTCGGTATTTAGGGGCCCGGGGCATGCATGTGCATTCTCTCGATGTATGTGCATTCTGTCGAACTTACCTGGCCACATGGTCTGGAGGTTTTCGGCTAGCTTGTTTCAGGAGCTGGCCGCAGCTGCGCTTCTCTGTCCTGCGATGTTTTCTGCAGTCACCTGCAGCATCCAGGAGCGCAGGAAGGCCGCATGATGGATGAGCAGCGCTTTGCTGTTCTCTTCAGAACTGCAAAGATTTCCAGCCGACTGGGCGGCATACAGCTGGCCTCTACGAGGTAGTAGCCTGGAGCTGCAAGGGCTTTGGCCCAGCAGATCCTGCACGCTGCTTGCGTGGCTTCGCTGCGAGATCTACCACTTCCAGGAACCCATCTTCGGCCTCTGCCCTGCCCGCATGTTCTGTGCAGCGATCCGCTCGCAGAGAAGGCGCCTCTCAAGCTGCATGTGGGCATCGATCAGGGAAGGCTGAGCAAGAACGTTGCAGAAGGCGCTAATGAAAGTACGGATGGCCTGTCAGACGCTGGGCGGACCTCCGTCTGCAGTCTGCAATGCTCTTATAGGATGCAACCCTACCAGCAAGACCAGGAAAGAAGTGGGACGAAGCTCAGAACCCCGCATGCTGGAGCTCTGCAGGTACAAGCTGCACTTCGAAGGCTGCGAGAGCGCCACTGGCAGCAGCGGCGATGGAACAAGGCGTGCATCAAAACAGAAGCATCTACACAGCGCACAGTCCGCAGAGTTTGCTGGAACAGCAGCCTTCCGGGCTCCTCGCAGCACTCCCAACTGACGGTCACCTGGCAGGGTGCTACGAATCGTCTTCTTCCGCCTTCTTTGCCCGAGGACGGATGAAGTAAATGGAAGGAACAGAACGGCCACAGAGACACCCCCGTCTGTCCACACTCAACATCAGAGCCGGGAATGCCACGACTTGCTGCTCCGCATCGACACTCACCGTAGCAACTGTCAGACAGAAACTGGAACATGAAAGTGACATGACAAGCTTTAAAAAAGGATCATCTGAATGGCTTCTTGCGAAACCCTTGCGGCTCCTGCACTGACCGGAGGGGCAGGGGCTGCAGGAGGGGTCACCAGCGGCGTAGAGAGCGTCGACCAGCAGCCTCCAGGCAGACGTACAGCAGCTGCCAGGAGGAAGGGCTTTCTGTGTTGATTTGGGGCCGTGACGTCGGTGGGCAGAATCGTTCGATCGTATCAGGGAGTCTTGCAGTTCGGACATACAGCTTCATGGTCGGCAATAGCTGCATGGTCGGATATGGTCGGCATTAGCTGCCCTCGTGACTGACCCTGATAGCGGAGCTTTCTTCCCCTCGCCTGTGCCAAGGGCATTCGTTGCAGCCAAGACGAACGAGTACCTGGGCAGACCCCCGGCCCCATCCGGAATTCCACGAAACCAGACAACCTCCCAAACTCAGAGATCCCATGCGTCGACCGGGCCTGGTCCCTGGTTGCAGACCATCAACCCGAGCTCGACAAGGTATCTCGTGGGGGCGGGAGACAGAAGCGAGCTCTGCGCGCATGAGCAGCATCGCCCCAGGGCGCAGGACTCTACCAGGGACGGTATGACCGTATTCTTATCGGACGCAAGGATCAAGCCGTGCCTCGCCGTAGCTCTTTTGAGTGCCGGGATCCTGGAAGAACCGTACCGTTGAATGCATTTCTCAGAGCGCCTAAGGATTCCGACGATAGGGACGAATGTCGTCTTCTTCCACTTCTCTGCAAGATCACAGGTGCAAGCCTTGATCTGCACCCCTGCAAAGGGCACCGCCACCTGCTTCGAACAAGAATGCGAAAGCAAACTGGTCAGCATTTCGGCATGGATAGGTATGCTCACAGCATGCCTCCCGCTGAATGGTCTGGTTGGCAAAAGTTGCCCCTGCGCGCAATGACAACCCGACGTTATGAACGAAAATCCGGGCTGAGTGCACACGCGCACCACCCCTGAGACGTCGGTGAACTCCCACAATCATCGCCACTCTCAGTACAAATTCCACGTTGGTCTCGCTTGCAGTTTTTCTCACTAGCACGGGCACTAAGGCCAAACCGGTGTGATGCGTGGCTTACGCTTCCAGTGCTGTGCAGAATGGAAGGGCGGTACACAATGCTTGTGATTTGTGTTTGAAGGTCGTCAGTGGCAATGTAGCATGTGACGACCCATCTTGACAGCCTTGGGAAGGTTTCTCTTTGTGTTTTCCCGCCGGCATCAAGGTCGCCACAGGTTGCGTGGGCCACCTTCGGACTTCTAGGATTCATGTCAGAATGGACCTCCCACAGTGCTGTGGTGGCGCCTTCTGGACCCACCCCCGTACAATTCTAGCTTTGCAAGCCAAAAGAAAACCACGATCCGAGCACATCAAGCCATGAAGCCGCAGGACTCGTCGCTTTTTTTTGTCGATTGCAGGCAATTAAGATTGGGTTGAAAACGAGCCGGACCAGGAGCCCTGCAAGCAATCCGCAGTACCTTTCATTTCTGTTGCGGTCATCTCGAGCTGCCGGACTGCGAAGATTACGGCGAGGCTCCCGGCTGGACCCAGCCGCAGGAGGAATGTCTCCGTCGTGTTCGCCAGGCTTCGGCCCGGATCAGAGTTGGAGGGTTTGGTATGGACATTCACCCCCTTGGCATTGGCAGCACGGTTTCGTGTCTGTCAGGCTGCATGGTGCGAACATGCGGAGTCAGCCAGTGATCCCCCAGAAAGGAATCATTCGGAATCCTGAATATGTTGGCTGAAACGAGAGGCAGTCCCTGGTCAGATTCCCTCTGCGGATCACGGACTGAGACATGTGTCTTCTGAGGCTGCGAGATGCAGCCCGGGGTCGGCAGCCAGGTTGTTTTGCCTCCTTTGGCCTGCTGGGTGTGTGCTGGACCCCCGACCCCAGGGCATCCACGCTAGCAGGCATTAACCAAGGAAACACGCTTGCTTATGTCTGCTTCACTCATCTCGCTGCCATCTGCTTTCCACGGAGAAAGCAAGCGGGCTTCCGCTACAGTGAAACATAGGCAGATCCAGCAAGAACGCGGACACAATGCCTGAGCAAAGAACAGCTGCTTGTATGAGCTGTCTTGGGTGATCAAGCACTTGAGTCTCTAGCAACATGGCTTTGGTATGTGTGCCCTGACTCCAATTGCCCTTCAGATTCTTGGAATTAGGATCCGAGTCATCCAGGAATTGTCTTAGCAGCTGGGGCCGCAACACTGCGCTCGTCACAGTCAGGTGGCTTCATCCTGTCACATGCTAAAATGCGCGGAGGCATCCAGATACAATCTTCTGCATGGTGCCACTATCGTGCGACACAGGGTCGGTACGTCATGTCTCGTTTGCCCCATCACATACACGGCGTGATCTAGATACCCAGTCCGGGAGGTAGTTCGCAGCCTTGCGCTTCCAGGAGACGATGTCTGATACGGCTCCCCAAAGGGGATCGGCGTCATGCCTCGCTGCCACACTTAAGCCATTCATTGCAAGCTCGGCATTCCAACCGTCGGACAACATGCAGACCTGAAAGAAAGAAGCTCGAATCAATCATCTGAGGCTCTGGCGAAGACTGCGAGGGGAGGGGCTCATCCTTCCTAAGACCGAGGCTGGTCAGACAAGGCATGCGAGCGCGACTGCTGAAGCTTCTGGAACTGGAGGCCTCCAGATTCCTTGCACTGCCCTGTAGAGGACGGAGGAGTTCTAAACCAAAGAGCGAAAATCTAACACGACGCGCCAAGAGCAGTCGGGATGCTCGTCGTCAGAGCCGAAGAGCTCCTTCGAGAGCAGGGTTGCTGCAACGGAACGGCGCTTGCCACCTGGCTGACTCGGTCATCTTTGGCTTTTGGGTGGTCGAGATCATATAGAGAAGACGACCAGGACCCTGCGTCGCGACCCACCGAAGCAGGGCTTCAGGGCTGCCTATCAAACCTACAGCTCACAACCACAAACAATCCCACAACCCTGAACTAAATCCCGAACCTAAAGGGCCTCGAGCCTCGAAAGCCTCCACTTCCCAGAAACCCTCTGGCCCTGCCTGGCACTGATCCCGGTCTCCTAGCAGGACACCCGTGGCATCAGAGAAGTCAACAGACCCAAGACAAATTGGTGATTTCGGTGGTCTTGTGCCTCAGGGCTTGGGTCTGTGGTTTCGGCTTTCGCCCGTCTGCGAGCTTCAACCTCCCGATTTCTACAGATAAAGACCTTGAGGCTGAGAGCCGTGTCCACTGTCTTCTGCCGCGACCACCGTGTCTTTTCTGTTGGGCTTCGCAACACTCGCCAAGTAGAGCTAGTGGCAACAAAGCTGGCACCTGCGGCCCGCTTCGGTACAAGTACCACCATGCTTGTTGCAGGAGTTCATGCTTGGGCGCTTGAGCCGCGATGAGCGAGACAACTGTACACTTAGCAGTCTGCTCCTTTGCAGCAGCGCTTGCAGGGCTCTCTCGTCGCCCTCCGGCCCACCTGCCGCATGTGCATCTTGAGCACAGAGGGATCATGGCATGTCTGGGCTGGACTCGAACAATCTTGGCAGGATCTGCCGGCATGATTGTGAACGAGGGCGCATGCGGCTAAAAAACATGTCCGAGGCTGATAAGGTTACTGTCGAAGCAATCAGCTCCACGGTCCCCAAAATGCGCACCTTCCAGTGAAGGCGAGTCGGCGGGCCTTCTGCAAAACAGACGTAGGACCGGGTGCGGCTATGTCCAAGCTGCATCTAATCATCGATAGTCGGCTGGGCATTGTACCTCTCACCGGGTGCGATGCTGGCGCCAGGCGGAGTCCTCCGCATACACTGACTTGCAAGGCCCGTCGACTCACCACAATGACCGTCGAACTCGGGCCACTCCTGAAGCGATCGTCGCCGGCCTGTGATCAGGCGACAGACGGCAGCCCCAAGAAGAACGCTGTAGGAAGAGCATGTGACGTGCGCCTTCAGCTCCCGCTTCTGCGTCTCCATCCAGTCGTTCATCGCCTAGCAGGCATCCGCGAGTGTCGCAGAAAGGAAGAACGGCGTCTCTACGGCTCTACGCCGGAACGGCGGCAGCAGCCGGGAAAGAGCTCAGAGCTCCTAGCGATTCGAGCCTGGAGGCCTTTCCCCTCTTCTCTTCTGAGGCCCTGGCCAGCCGGCTGCGCCTTACCTCTCGGAGCTCCTGCAAAGTCGACGCTCGATCCTGCAGAGGCAAGTCCAGCTAGGGCCTAGTGGTCTAGGCAAGTCCAGTGATCCTCAGAGATGCAAGGACCTTGAGTTGTCTTTCAGGGCGGGTGCTTAGCGATCGCACTGAAGTCTAGCCTGTAGCTAAAGCTGGGCTGCTCCAAGGATTGCCGAGGGATTCTGTAGGTTTCGCATGGTGGCCCGATGCAACCTGTGCACTGTCATCTGCACCTTTGTGGAGACCGGTCCCTCAAAGGTGTTTGAAGCATCGATTCACTTCAACCGGTGATGCGATGCATATGAAACAACGCGTGACATTGGCGTTCGCACACACCTGAAACACTGGCACCTGCGCAAAATCTATCACTAATAGCCCGTCCTCCTCGTTGCTTCTGCGGCGCTCGGATGGCTCCCTTGACCTACACCGAGAGTAGGCACAGACACAGGCAGTGTGTTGACGACAGCCGGTTGACACGATGATTCCTACAAGTAGTGGTCCTAGTGCCCATTGAAGCCTGTCGTTGATTCGTCTTACGTGCGGTGTCATAGATTCAGTAGACTGCGAAGCATGTGCAGGCATCGGGGTGTTGCGTCAGGCGGCGTGCCCACACAGTCCGGCAACGGAGCAGCGCAGCATGGCACAGGCCTTGGATCTGCTTCGGCTTCATCGCCTGGTCCCACGGGCAAAACGGGGACGGACAGCAGGCCGACATCCAGAAATGTAGGAAGCAACTCAGCTCTTCTGGGCCTCCATCGTCTGGTGAACGCGGACCCCTGCACAGCGCAAAGCGCATCAGGGATGCTCTGAGTCTGCTTGGGTGACCCAGTCGCTTCTGAGCCACAGGCTGATGAGAGAGCTTCCAAGCGCTTAGATCCAGGTTGGCCTGAAAAAGCCATGAAAGCTTCAGCAACAGGGCTGCTTCACCGCTGCAGGCACTGCCTGCTCGACTTCGGTGTCGAAGTGCTCGGAGCCTTCTTCCGAGGCTGCCTCGGCCTCGTCTTCCTGCACACAGCGCGCACGGCCCGCGCAGCTCGTTTCGCTTGGCGGCTGCGTCCTCGGCCTCCGCAGTCTTGCTGACCTTTCAGCGATTCACTCGCGACTGCCCACGCCCATATGGCCCATGTTCGCTGTGCGCTCCGGTCATGTCTGCCACCCGCTCGAAAAAAAACTCAGCACCTCACAACGCGCCCTTGCTTTGCATTGTATGACGTGTGGAGCCTGACAGCCAGTCTGCGAGATTCTGCGAGAAGCTTGCACTCGGTAAAGTGAAGCGGATGCACATAACCCACACCCCCGAGTGTGCGCTCAAAGCTGTGCAGACCTGACTAATTAATGACTAATGCTTCCATTGAGCACCATCCCTCCACAACAAGTTCATAGCTCCACCAAGCGCCGGACATGTGGAAGACGTCGGGATTAGGAGCAGCTCCGCAGTGAATGCTTTCTGCCTGGGAACCAGGTAGTGGCAGCGCTGCTTTACCGCCATGTAGCTTCCCGACGGCCTTGAGCCTGTGTTCCTCCTCCATCTCCTTCATCTTGCGACGCTCGGCCAAAGACTCTTCCCTGAACAGCGCCGGGCAAACCCGCGGGTTTGGGAGCAGATCCCTCTAGAACGGCAGGATATGTCCCTTCCGCATGTGACATCGTGCCTCTGCAACCCATCCTTAGAGAATTACTGCGTTGTTCAAGACTGCGGCTGCCAAAAGCGGTCGTGTCTGCGACTCTAACTCCAACACAGATGCGGAAGGAGGAGCAGCAGTAGTCTTCGACTGAGTCTGGCCGCATGTCTGTAGAATCGATATGAGCCAAGACTCGAGATGGAGGCGGAAGAAAGTCTCTGGCCGCACCTGACAACTCGTGCGGGAAGCTCCAAAAAAGGCAGAAACTTCTACACGTTCCGTTTCTCTACACCGTACAGGTGGAGCGGGGCCTTCAAAGGAACTGACAAAAGCCCACAACACGGGCTTCGGAAGCACCTTGTTGCCCTTTCCGCGGCGGCGGTCTGCGAGCTGCCGGACTTCTTCCTCGGCCGCCTGTCAAAATCTGCCCAAAGGAGGCAACCGCCTAAACTTCACAGAGAGCCGATGGGTGCCTTTCTGGCTTCCTCACGCTTCTCCATCGCCTGCTGGAATGGGCTGACGGGCCAAAGGGCCACTGCTGAAAGCTACCACTGCCCAACACTCAAGAGTGTCCGTCCTCCTTCTGCTTCTCCTGACCATAGTTATGCAGCCGCAGGACCTCAATGCTTCTTTGCTGCCGTGAGCACCGTAATTTAAATGATCTGCATGCCCTGCTAGCACCTGTACCCTGTCACACCTGCTTGCGGTCTTGGTCGTCACACTTGACGTGCCCTCCACGTGTTGGTGCTTCAACATTGTCACCAGAGTCACACTTCTTGGCTGAGAGTCTCTGCGAGATCATTCTGGCGCTCCTTGGTGAGCTTGACCTCCTGCGTAACGTCTCACAGTCAGGATCCACGTATGTCCATGTGGCTCTCGGCACGGGGATGCAGCGAGCAGCTCGGGGACGCGTGCCTTGTCCTTCTTCTCCTTGATGGTCTGCAGCCCATCCTCGGCATCCTCCACAGTTCAACAGCTGCATTTTCTCCGCGGCTCTCGAGTTTCAGAGTCCAGAGATCAGCCTGAGCAAAACCTGCAAAGCACTGTCAGCACGATGCGATAACGCGTCCTTCTTCTTCCTTTGGCGCTCCTTTCTTTTCTGGGCTTGCGAATATAGGCGATCCGCTGCCGCGGCTGCCTGCCCGAGGACGGCAGAGCCGCAACCAAATGCTATGCAGCTTAGAACTCAGCGAGAAGAGCAGGTACAGCCAGGCTCAATGACAGCTTGGCACTTCCCGCGGTGGCGCACCACATCGGCTCGGCACGCTGCAGTCGAGACGGATTCGACAGTAAGGTGTCGCGGCGTCACCTGCCGGGCCCCAGAAAATCGCATGATCTGCATGAAGGATCAGGGCTATAGCTCGCTGCATGCTTCATCCAAGCGGCCACAGGCGTGGGCTCCTCCTTCTTGGGTTCGCGCGGCTTCTGCAACCGAGTCCACACGGGCTCCTGCAGCTTTGCCGAGAGCTCCTGCACCGGGCAGCATGCTTCTTCTGACGTGCATGAGAAGCCGCCGCACTCGTCAACCGTTTGCTTCGTCAGCTTGGGAAAGTGGGGGGCGAAAGCACCAGAGCCCGTCCGGATTCGCTTTGTGCAGCCATGAAGGGACGTCCCTCCTCGGGCTGCTGCGCTTGAAAAGCCCAGAACAGAAGAAGACTTGAAGACTCTGCGAGCTTCAGAAGGATCCCGAGCCTTAGGCCTTGTGCCCTGAGATTTCAGCCAAAGTGCCGTGGCTGTCGAGGCTTCCGGAAGTGCTCGTCAGCTTCCCGCTCCTTGGGGCTTTGGGAGCTGAAGCTTTGGGTTTTCTTGTATTCGGGGCCCAGTCTAATTATTCGGCCCCTATATCATAGAACCCTACTATTATAGATCCTTATATAGACCCCCTTTAAGGAACCCTTTAAAGGGCCCCGAAGCACTGGCTGAGGGGCTCTTCGTGCATCCAGGGCTCCAGTCTCTGCCGCCTCTCCTCCTGCTGCGCCTTTTGCAGGAGCCCCTTGTTGTAGAGGCGCTTGAAGTATGCCTGTGCTGGGAGTGCCAGTGGCGCCGAAGAAAGGAGGAAGTGAAACACAAAGGATCCACACCGTTGAAAAGGAAACACTTCTGGCCCGAGCTGCCGTGCTTCCGGTCTGCGCAGCAGACAGGTTGGGCTCTGGCTTCTTGAAGAGGCCCTCCTTCTCATGCTTCTCCTGGATGGCACAGCATCGAGCACGGAGCACGGTTCCGAGTTCCGAGTTCCGTCCTGCTTTCTCTTGTGGAAGTCCTTCGCCTCTGAGCTCTGAGACACGCTTTTCACTGCGCGGATCACAAGTCCCAGGTCTATTTCCCTCTCCGGCCTCACGATAGAGCCGGTTGTAGAGGTCCTCTCTGGTCAACCGCGCGAAGCCTTCGTCTGCCTCCTTCAGACATCTTCCAACAGCCGTCAGAAGCGCTCTCGAGAACGGCACCGCTTGCTGGGGCCTGACGCTTCGTTAGAGGCTGCGAGGCACTTCGGGGAGTTCGTGGAGTCCTCACCGCAGAGCACAAGCAGAGGATGTTCCATCCAAAACTGGGCAGGGTCCTAGGGCTCGTCTCGCCCGGCTCCAGGGGAGCCACTGGGCCAGGTGGATCACCAACTGCAGACAGCGTCTGAGGACTATCCTCTCTCTCTCTCCGTCTGCCCAGATATCCCGGACCTGCTTCACCTGGAACCTCGCCCGGTGTCTGAAAGGTCAGCCTCGGCTGGCGATGCTTTCTGAGCAAACACGGCTTCTCTTGCTCAAAGCCTAAAGCCAGCCGAGCTGCCCGGGGTCGTTTAGCTGCTCGGCCGCCAGCATCCTCATGGCTGCGAGGACTTCCAGACATGCGCTCTTAACATCAGCAGAACCTCTCATGTTTGATTTCACCCTGACCCCAAAGACCCTCAGCATGTCCGTCTTTGCAGCTTAGCGACCCGGGTTCGACGCGATTCGCCGCAACGCGAGGCAGGGACGGGCTGAGTTGCTGCAGCCAGCGCAGGTCCTGCCCCGAACATTTTGCCGCTGAAGGCTAGAAACAGCGCGGTGAGTTGCTGACAGCTGCTTCTTCCGAAAGACTCAAAAGTATCCGACCAGATCCAACCAGTCTATCACCCTCGAACCTGGAGAAGGAAGTCCTCGGCACGGACGGACGGCCTGGCCAACGTGTCGTGGCAGCAGATCCTCGGTTGCGCAGCTATTCTCACGGAATCTCAAAGCATACTCTGGGGACCATGAGCGCTTTCGCGAAGCAAGACCCAACAACTCAAAATCAGCCCGTCCGCTGTTCAAGCCCGGCCTTGCGGACCTAGCGTCATTCGAAAGATACTGTCAGCCTCACGTGGCTCCAGGATGCCCGAGACCAGGGACCGAAACTCCTGAGCCCCGAATAGATCGAAAAAAGGAACAGCAGCCATGTTCCATCGCCTCCTTCCGGAGCCGCCGGCCGCCACGCAGGCCTCGGCGAATCCCAATGACGCGCACTGGACCCAGCATGGTCTCTGCTCCACACTTTTCGAGGCCTTGACCCCAGGATTTCGCGGCCTGGTCCACGCCACCAAAGCGCGAGGCGAGAGCGCTGGAAAACTTCCCCAACGCCTGCAAAGCACCGGTCAAGCAAGGTCGAGCCTCTAAAATGCGCGCGAAGGCTTCCAAACGTTCACAACCAAACCTCGGCAGTGGGCCAATCGAGCTCGCAGATCGTGGCCTGTTTGCGGCTTCAATGTCCCAAAGCCGAGAAATGTCGAGCGTTCCAGCCTTGCCGGACCCATCAGCATCCAGTTCATGCCAGGCGTCACGGATATTGCCACGATAGTTCATCCGGCGACACCTCGTCGACCAAGCAAGCTCGCACACAGACCTACTGACTTGGCATCTCGTGTGACAGCTCGTGTGACCTGACTACACCTCCAATGCTTGCAGGGCAGCGCCATTAAACTGCAACTGAGAGCGGGACGCTTCACAGAACTCTGCATGGGTCACAAAACCCGTTGCGGAGCCTTCAGCTGCAAGATCTCGCACAGTGCTCATGTCATATGGCAGTTCGCCCAGTTTGCCCTCGTAATCGCTATGCCACTTCCCCTTCCATCTAGACGAGGCTGCATGCTGGATCCTGGTACGCTTGCTGCTTAGCTATCAACTGTCCAGGATTCTTCTCCAGCCAGCAGCAAAAGTACCTGCCAGCGTACAAAAAATCTGCTGTGGATGCTTCAGGTTCTGGTTGCGTTTGCTGCATGCCTGTCAGCAACTTCTGAAACAAGCCGACGAGTTGAAAGTCAGTAGGAGCTCTCGAACATAAGCCTGGCATGCCTAAAAAATACGGCCCTGACACCGAAATCCAGACTCGGTTCTTCATGAACCCGCTGGGATGCAAGGCCTTCTCTGCGCAAGAGCTCGGCACGGAATTGGCGCAGCGCTGCTCCGGAGTTCGGGCGCACTGGCACATAACGGAGTTAATCCGAACCCGGGAGGTGAAAGCCGTCAGGATCTCTCGCCCTGCCCTAAACTAAACCCGAACACAGGTTTCAAGACGTCTTTGCCACCTGAAGCAGTGGCTTTTGTGGTGCAACACCTCGTGCGGAACCTTCCCTTCCTCCCTTACTCGCTCGCACTTTTCCTTCTTGCAAATTTGATTGAAAAAGACGAACAGGCAAGCGAGTCCCTCCCCCTCCACCGAGGAGTGTATGTACGCCTCGAATGAGACCGACCGACCGAATCCGACCGACTAGTGGGAGCAATCAGAGATGTGTCTGAGATGCCTCCTTGGCAACTTCCACAATTTGCAGTTGTAGCTCTTGTTGAGCACACCAAAATCACGATGGCTGGCTGACTGTACCATGTGCCATTGTAAACCCCATACAGTGAAAGAGAACCAATGACCTAGCATTCCGGGCACGAGTCGCGCCGTCCAGCCCAAAATGTCCGTGGAACTGTGGCAAGAGCAGGGCACGAACACGAGTCCTGACGAGTCAAGAGCAAAATGGACCCTACATTTTGGTGGGAGCAGGACTTCCGACGGGGGACACTACGGCGGCGGGAAAGCAGCCCCAAGAACGCGAATAGGGACTTCGAGCACTTTGAAGGCTAAGTCAGCTGAATGAGCACGGGAGTGGTGCGAACGATGGCGAAGATGATTTCCACCCACAGACACCTCAAAATGGGCACGGCAGGAGAACCAGACATGAAAATCAACCATACCAATGTATTGGAGTTTACCACACGTCGCGCATCGCCGCAGAGCGGGGCTGAGCGGGAAACTAGCGGGACAGTGGAAAGAACGTGACTTGAGTCGAAATGTGCACCACGCCACGGCGCGAGCCATGTTACCTCCGGGTGCCCATCTGCAGGCGCTTCGGCAGGACAGCAACCAAATCCTCTCTACTCTCGCAGTGTAAGAACTAATTATCGTGTTGCTGCACTGTCCTGGGCACACAGTCATCAACAACTCGTCGGTAGCGCAAACACAACCACTGACCGAGCTCCCTAAAGGGAAAATGAGTTCTGGCGAATCTCTTTGTGACAAACGCGCATGCCTGACAAATCCCGAACGGTGTCAGAGTCCGCCTCGCGCCGAGTTGGGTGCTGAGGCGCTGCGCTTTGGAGACACGGGGCGTGGCGAGGGCCTCGAAGAGAGAGATCATGGCTGCTAGCTGCCATCTACAGCTGCATCAAGACTCACATTCAGGAGCATTGAACAAGCCCTTGGCGTCGTCGCGCGGGAGCTCGTAGCCCCTCCGAACTCCTGCAAAAAAGGCCGGGTCTGGTATCAAATCCGGAATCCGTCGAGCGTTTCCATGACAGCTGTGAGTTGACCGTGTCCTCTACGAGCCAGGAGACGGGGGTAGCTGGAGTTGCCAGCGACGACGGCATGGCATATAACTTCGCAGCCTCGGTTCTCTCAGTCTGAGCCTCTCTCGCTCTCTCTTTGCATTGCTTTGCTAGGGGTTAGAGCATGGTTAGAGCTAGGGGCATACATTTTGAGGGCCCGGGCTCAGCCGTGCTCTTGGTATCCCGCCCGTTCGCGGTGTGGGGTAGAGCCTCTCTCTCTCTCTCTCTCTGTTTGTTTTGCTTTGCTTCGGGCATGAGGCAAGGGGCACGGGCAGTCCCCATACCCCGCGTGGATCCACGCACTCTGTCTCTGTCTCTCTCCTTGTGTATGTATGCATGCATGCATGGATGTATGCACGCGTGGATGCACATACAAATTGTCCAATTTTGAATTGCAACAAGCCCGGCTGCTGCCCTCTTGGCCACCAAAATCCTTTGAGGACTGGACCGGGTCTCTGCCTGATCCAGTTGGCAACATGCTACTGCCGCGCGGATCTGTAGAAGTCATCTGATTACTGGTCATCTCGAGCGGTGGAGTGTGGCTGCAGGACCCGCATGCTTGCCCGTTGCCGCCTGCACTGGGGCTTCGGTCGGACTCGCTGCCCTGACGTGCATTGAGCTTCTGGATTTCGGACTGAGTGTCTTGACGGTGCTTTGGCCCTTCGCACTGGTCCTGCAGTCACCAGGAACACCCACAACAGCGTGACTGGCCCACCTGCGAGCTCCGGCTGCGTCGAGGGGAGTGACCTGCGGCTCTCCCCAACAAAGGAAGGGCTGTTGTTGCCTTCTCGATTGGCACTTTCGCCTTGATTTCACGATTGGCAACATCCTGCTGTTGTCAGTACTGCTCCTGGATCCAAGCTGTGTTGCTATTGTGTTGCCTGTCTGGAATCTCTAGCTACTTACAATTATACATTGCCTCCTCTATGCAGCATGCACCTCAGATCCATCCTTGGAAAGATGCGGGTGCAGGAACAAGTCGCTTCTTCCTGCCTGCGCTGCCACTGCGTGAGGACTTGGCGGTCTGCCAGGGACGTCGGCACATGAAATCGAAACTCTTGAGAACATCCGCATTCCTCATCCATCCCAAGCCCTGATAGCGGCTGCTATGAAATCGCTGCCACAGCGATCGACGAAGATGATCCGAGCACTGCCGCGCAGTGCTGACTTCGAAGCCAGCATACCCTGGCCTCCGCGCGCCGCCGTGTGCGCGATGCTCGCTCGGCGCTGTGCTTCGGGCCGGCCTGTGGAAGTGGACCCTAGCAATTGGAGTTCGGCCGCGGGTCAACAGCAAGCTCCCGGCCATGTCCACGATGCTGGCCCTGAGGGAGCGGCTGCCTCCAGCCATTGAGCCAGACACACTCCAGCAGACGGTCTACTCGCGGCTCAGGGTTGCAATCTATGCCAGCAGGCTCTCGAAGCTGAAGAGGCCTAGAGTGTCCGATACTGCCCCTGCCCAATGGCCTTTGCTGCGGCGTGCACCGCGTTCCTGCCGGAGCTGTTTGATATCAGCTTCACGAGAAGACATGTCAACGTGCTTCAGGTGGTAAAATTGCCCTTGCTTTCTTCATCTAACCCCTCTGAATCCAAAACTTCCCACTGCCTCCCAGGGGACACCAGACCTTCACAAACCTGAAGCCTTTTCAGGATGCCCCATGTTCCCGCCACTATGCTCGGGTCTGATTCGTTCGTGTAGGGCATATCACCGGACAGAGCAGTGAGGCTTCTCCAAAACTGCGCTCCCGAGGAAAACGTTTCGATGACTCACGAATCGCAAATGCACCAGCTCCGTACACACCGCCGTAAACCCTCCTAAACCGTCAAACCCCTAAACCCTCAACCCTAAACTCCTAAACCCTAAAACCGGCCCTACACCCGTGAACCCCAAACCAAAAAGCCCCGGACCCCAAACCCCCTACACCCAAATCCTCAACCGCTAAAACCTGAACCCCCAAACCCCGAAACCCTAAACCCCCAATCCCTAAACCCAAAACGCGGCACCCTAAATCCCTGCACCCTTGAAGCCCAAACCCAAAACCCGAAAAACCCGAAACCCCTAAACCCGAAAACTAAACCCTAACCTAAAACCTCAACCCTTAAGAAACTAAACACGAAACCCCAAAACCCAACCCTTAAACCATAAACGACAAATCCCAAACCCGGCATCCCTAAAACCCTACACCACTGAAGCCCAAACCCAAAACCCACAAACGCCAAACCCCGAAACTCCGAAATTACCGAGCCCTAAACCCCTAAAACACTCAACTCTCTAACCCCTGGGAAGCCTAAACCCGAAACCCCGAAACCCTAAACCGCCATAAACCCCAAAGCCACAAACCCTGCACCCCTGAAACCGCACACCCCTGAACCCCAAACCAAAAAAAACACTAAACCCGGAAAGCCCTACTTGCCTTTGAACCCGAAACCCCAAAAGCCCTAAACCCGAAGCCCTAAACCCTCAACCCCTATACCCCAAACCCCGGAGCCCCGGAACCCTTAAACCCTAAACAGCAAATAAGCCCAGCGAAGCCAAAAAATCCTAAACCGTTGACCCCTCCCTAAACGCCCAAAACCCCAAACCCGCAGCCCTTGAAAACCCAGACCCCTAAACCCTTAAAACCCTAAACCCCAAACCCTTAACCCTAACTCCATGACCCTAAACCTGCAAAACCCTAGCCTGAACCCCTAAGCTCTACACCCCTAAACTCCTAAACTCTGCAACCCTAAACCCCTAAAGCACTGAAGCCTTACACCCTGACCACAAACTTTCGAAACCCCCAAAACCTAAACCCCAAACACGCGAAAACCCTACCTAACCCTAAGCCTCTACTGTAAACCCTGAACCCAAAAAAGAACTCAACCCCCTAAACCCTCAACCCCTAACAACAACCCTAACCCCCCGAAACCCTAAACCCCCCAACCCTAAACTCCTAAACCCAGTAGCCTTAAACCCCAAAACCCCAAACTTCCCCAATAAACTGTAAACCCCTAAATCCCGACCAAACCCCTGAAAGCCTCAACCCCTAAACACCTAAACCATAGACCCCGAAACGCTAAACCGCCAAACCCTAAACCCTAAAATCCTAAACCGGGTACCTTTACACCCTGATAACCCTGCGCCAAACCCTAATCATTGGCCCTAAAATCCTTAAGCCCTTTAACCCTGAACCCCCAAACTGGAGTGAGCCGCGGGTGCTGCCTTGGCCAGCGGCGGGCGATACCGCGTGGTGACAGGCCCGCAGACGAGCCCGAGCGAGCAGGCATGATCCTTGCGAGGGCGAGGTGCCGGAGCGCGCGGTGAGCGCGGCTCACGCATGGAAGGTCGAACCCGCGTGCCACTGACAGGCTGCCCCAAAGAGAATAACTAAGTCTATGCGTCCTGCCCTGGTGGGGATTCCCCTGGGGGGAGGGTCCCAAAATCGGCCCAAAATTGGTGGATTCCTGATTATTTTAATTAGCAGAGATCATAAATGGCACAAATGACCCCCTCATTTTTCCAGATTGGCAGCTTTGGTGGGGATGTCCTGGTGGGGATGCCCTGATGGGATGCACTGGCGGGGATGCCCTAGGCCGAAGTGGAGGGTACCGCATCGGCCCAAAAGTGCTCGATTCCTAATCAGTTCAGAACCGGATTTTTGGCAGGTTTGGTGGGGATGCCTTGCTCCCAAATACGGCCTAAGTGGGGGTAATCGAGGATCGGCCCGAAAGTGCTGGATTCCTAATTCCAATCAATTTAGAAGAGAATTGAAACGGCACACATGACCCCCTCATTTTTCCAGATTTCCGGCAGCCCTGGTGGGGATGTCCCGGTGCGGATGCCCTGGTGGGGATGCCCTGGTGGAGATGCATGAAGAAGACGTAGAGCCACCATGCGGTGGCATAGTCGACGCAAAGGAGTGCGTAACGCCCTGCACAGAAACTGCAGTGTGTCACAGCCAGCCGACAGAGACTGCAGCATCAAGCGAGCTGGCACTAATTAAGAAACAAAACTTCAACGAAAAACACTCACTACAAAGGGGGAAGGAAAGACACGAAACACAAGCAAAGCACAGTCAAGCCGTCTGCACTCACGGATTTTACAGATATGCGCTCGGACAATGCCGAAAGTCGGACAGCACCGACAAACACCTCCGGACAGTACCGGGGTGTATGCAAAAAAGGAAAAAACTGCGGGAGCTTGTGCTCTAGCCCTTTAGGATCTTCGGTGCTGAAACCCTGCACCGTCGCGCGCGGCCGCGCTTTCGCTTCGCAGTTTCACACCCGTTTGCAGTGGCCCCTTGCCCTGGCCTTCACCACAACCCGGCATCTTCTGCCACTTCGCGGTAGAGAGTCGTTGGTCGCCAGGTTCCTGGCTTGACTCCAAACTCGGGTCACATGCCGTTCTTTTTGGACACCAAGCGTTGAATCTAACACCCACGGTGCATCCGTGTTAGGAGGACGCTGTGTGTTAGCGATGGCTGTGATATCCGAGCCAGCAAGAAAGCCAGCAATCTCTTGGCAGCGACCAAGTGCCTCCGGGCACACCTTCTCGCACACCTTCTCGGCGTAAGCAACCAAATGCTGGATGAGCCCGTTGCACATCAAGACTTTCAACGGTTCAATGCTCCCTGCGCCTGCGGAAGCGACCCCACCACCATCGCGTGCCTGATCACGAGCACCTTGGTACGTCTTCAGAATTCCCTGCATGTGCTCGCGAAAAAGTCCGGTGAGGAAGACTGCAATCTGTAGCGCCGCCTTAGCCTCTCCAGCATCCCTCGCGGTAAACACTGTCAAATTGCTCGACCGTTCAAGCTTCTCCTTGAGGTCACGTAGCTCTTCACCTTGTCGTCGCACTTCGTCTTCTGGGTCATCCCTCTGTGGTTCTGACGCTTTGGCTCTACCGTCGCGGTCGTTGCCCCGATCCGCGCGTTCCCTTCCCATTTCCTGTGTTCGTGCCGTGGGTTTGAGCCTACCAGCTTCTGCAAACTACCAGATGCTCGCTTGCACATACAGGGACAGTCAAGACTCAAACACGAAGGAATGCTACCCTTCACAACACTGCTATGCCCATCTTTGTGCAACAACATGCAATGCTGCCATGCCCATCGAAACCGCACAGGCCAGTCATGCAAATGTTCCGCAATTCGATGTCGCTGAAAAGGTCATAGCAGTCTTCATGTGCGGAACGTTCCTAGCTCCCCGAGCCTCACATAGGAAGCATGGTTCGTGAAATCTTGCCTGCATATCCGAATCCCACTAGGGCCATCCTGGGGTACTCCCCATTTAAGCCCTAGTTGCTGCCTTCTAAAGCCCTACAGGACCACCAAGGCATCCCCGCTAAGGCATCCCCACGAAGGGGCTTAGGATTTAGGATTTCAAGTTGAGGAACCTGATTTCCTGTCTTTAGCGACCCATCTTGAAGGTTGCAAAGTCTTTGGGCGGCGAGCTGCACACAACACAACTTTTTGAGAACCCTAAACCTGTCGAGGTTGAGATGTGGGTGGGTGGGTTGGGCAGTGCGGTGAACCCAAGCGCACACCACGACACACGTCTCGCGCGGTGGTGTGCGCGGAACGTTGGAAACCCCTAAACCCTAAAGCTGTACTCAACCCTAAGCCCCGAAACCCTAAACCTCCAAAGCCCTAACTCTAAAGGCCTAAACGCAAAGCCCCTAACCCCAAGCTCTTAAACTCTAAACCCCCAAGGCCCCTAACCCCAAACCCCTGAAGCTCTATAAGCCTCCACACACCAAACCCCAAACACTGAAACCCCAAACCCCTTAAACCCTACTCAACCTTAAGCCCCCAAACCCTAAACCTATAAAGCCCTAAAGCCCCCAAACCCCTAAAGCCCTTAATCCTAAGCCCCCTAAAACCCCAAACCCTGAACCAATGAAGACACTACTCGACCCTAAGCCCCTAAACCCTAAACCTCCAAAGCCCTAACCCTAAAGCCCTAAACCCGAAGCCCCTAACACCCCAAACCTCAAAAACCCGAAACCCCAAACCCCGAAATCAAAACCCTACCTACCCCCCTAAACCCCAGACCCCCAACCCTTGAAGCCCTAAACTAAGCCAAAGCCGCTAAACCCTAAACCCCAAAGCCCCGAAACCCTAAACCCCTGAAACCCTGCTCATCCCAAAGCCCCTAAACGCTGAACCTCCAAAGCCCCTAACCCCAAACCCCTGAAGCCAGGTAAGCCCCCAAACCCCAAACCCCGAAACCCTAAAACCCCACTCAACCTTAAGCTCCCAAACCCCAGGACTCTAAAGCACTAAAGCCCCAACCACCTAAAGCCCTAAGCCCTAAGCCCTAACACCCCAAACCCCCAAACCCCGAAACCCTAAACCACTAAAGATACTGCTCAACCCGAAGTCCCTAAACCCTGAACCTCTGAAGCCCTAACCCCCAACCCCTAAAGCCCTAAACCCAAAGCCCCTAACACTCCAAACCCAAAAAATCAAAACCCTACTCAACCCTGAGCCCCTAAACCCTAAACCCCCCGAAACCCAAAACCCCAAAACCCCAAACCCCATCCCTAAGCCGCTAAACCCCGAAAGCATCCTAAAGAGCCCGAAGCCTCTAAAGCCCTAAGCCCTGTGGCCATTTCAGCCTCTCCCTCGGCCGCGTTTTGCTTCTTGCTGCCTCGACCGTCCTGAGGCATGCTGCGATGTACAGCTTGAGCAGCTTAAGGGTTTAGGGTTTTCGGGTTTGTCATGTAGAACCGAACAAGCCGGGACATGAACTTGTAGAAAGTGAGACGATAGGATGCTAGTTGGGGCTTGAAAGTCGGATTGGGACTTTAAGGGCCTTGCTCTTGCAGCTGCAGCCATGGTGCAGAACCGATGCCCTGGACTGAATCTTGTATTATTTTCTCTCACGCTACGGCGCGGAGCACTGCATCGGCATGGCGTCGCAGAACGCAGCATCGCAAAGCTGGCAATGCAATGCGAGCCGCCAGTATTGACTCCGAATGCCGCACCTGTACTGAACCCACCGCTAGCCGCCGTCACAAGACACCAACTCTAGCAGGATGAACACAAGATGCAAACATTTCAAGATGGCATCAACACAAATCTTGAAGCCTGTGCTACATCCTCTCGCATCTTGGCAGCAAGAAGGACTTTCCTTGGACGCCGTTTCCCAAGCCCTTCAACCCCGAAGCCTTCACAACAACAAGCTCACCGGTGCAAACCCGAACCGAGTTCGAGCCCTGAGCCTTATGCCCCTCATGCCCTTTAGCAAGCCCTAGCACATGGCCTTTCGCACGAGGTTTCCGCGTTGGATAGCCTCTGGTCAGGTGCAGGCCGCCAAGGCTTGAGACGCCTAGACTGCAGGAATGCAAGCGTGGCGGTCCTGGATCTTCGTGGCTGCTTCCTCTTCTCTCTTGCTTTGAGCTGCCTGGCGCAGGGCACCACTGCACTGCTAGACGACTGCCGTCTTGGGCTGTGCCCAGTCCGCATCGCCAAGTCAAAGCATCTACCCAAACCGTGCAAAAGTGCGTATCAAGCAGTGAGCCGTCGCAAACGACAAACAAAGATGAAACCAATGCCCAGAGAGCCTGGGCAACTTTCTCCCGCTCCTCCTGCATTCAGCTACTGCCGTGTCAAACTTCAGATTCGGTCGGCGGTCCAGTAACGTGCACACACTCCGCTGTTGTGCTCCACAGCTGTGTTAGAGTGAAAGCAAAGGTCGTCACATCCAGGCAAGACTTTTGGCACATTGACCGTATGACATGGTGGTTCTAGTGCGAACACCTGCAGCCCTGAACCTCAGCCTGTCTAAGAACCCTCAAGAAGGAAGATAGATCGGCGGCTCTCACAACGAAGGCCACAGCATCTAGGAATCAAGCAGATTAAATCTTCGTGGTGGCTGCCTCATCCTGTTTGCTTGAAGCTTCCTACCATGTTGTCGGACTCTATCATAACGCCTTTACAAAGCCAGCTTCTTCTCCAGGCAACCCGAAAAAAGGCAGCAATGAGCCCTCTACATCCCTTGCTCGGCACGCGGCCTTTGCTGCTTGATCCGGCTGCTTGCTGCGGCCGTCCTGGACGTTGAGACTGCACAGACTTTGTCGCGTGCTTGGGCTGAATAGATCGTTGACGAAACAGCCGGGGCACAAGCGCTCAGATCAGGGTTGTACCGCATCACGGGGCGTAAAAAAGTCTACATCGTTCTCGTCCGAACCTCGTCTGAACATCCGAAGCCCCGAAGCCCTCATTCAGCCGAAGTGGCCTTTCTGGCGAGGTTGCCTCGGTGGATGGCCTGCTTGAGCGGAATGTCGTTCACAGCTCCACTTTGAATTAGGAGGGCCTCAACCATCACTTCAGTTTCCCTCTCACAACGAACACGCATCCAGAGTCTAGAGCTGCAGGAAAACGACGCAAAAAGAGCCTGAATCTTCGTGGCTGCCTCCTCCTCCTGTTTGCTGGGAGCTTCCTGGCACACTGTCAGAGTCTTTCACGAGGCTGCTTGCAACACGGATCCCTTTGCATTTGTTGCCCAGCATGGTGCCTTCGCGGCTTTCTCCGGCTGCTTGCTGCGGCTGTCCTGCTGATCATGATTTGGAGAAGTTGTGCTGCTGCTGGACGACAGACCGATGCCGCGTGCTTACGACTTTGTCAATCGGAAGGGATCCTTGACTAATTAACTGGGGCACAACAGCCTAGGCGGGGGTTGAGGGCACTGTCTGATGTCTGATGTTCAGGTTCAGGGAAAGCGGAAAATCAATGGTGTTTCACATCTGGGCAGGGCCTTTGCAAAGCAACCACATGACAAGGCGTGGGCGGAACTTTACATCGTTTCTCGTCAGTTTCACGTGGAATAAAGCGGGATTCACGCACTGGAGTTTGGCGGGTCTAACAACGAAAGATAAAGCGCCTAGAGCTGCAGGATTTCAACTCAAAGGGAGCCTGAATCTTCGTGGCCGCCTCCTCCTCCTGCTTGCTCTCACTTTCCTGGCACATTGGCAAGAAGTCTTTCACGCCCAAAACTTTTCTACTCGAGCCACCAAGGTTGTCAGGCTACCTGACAAACTCGATTGCAGTTCATGTCGGCGGAGAACAAGCACCAAACAACCCGAAAAAAGGCAACAATGAGCCCTACGCGGCCTTTGCTGCTTGATCCGGCTGCTTGCTGCGGCCGTCCTGGACGTTGAGACTGCACAGACTTTGTCGCGTGCTTGGGCTGAAGAGATCGTTGACGAAACAGCCGGGGCACAAGCGCTCAGATCAGGGTTGTACCGCATCACGGGGCGTAAAAAAGTCTACATCGTTCTCGTCCGAACCTCGTCCGAACATCCGAAGCCCCGAAGCCCTCATTCAGCCGAAGTGGCCTTTCTGGCGAGGTTGCCTCGGTGGATTGCCTGCTTGAGCGGAATGTCGTTCACAGCTCCACTTTGAATTAGGAGGGCTTCAACCATCACTTCAGTTTCCCTCTCACAACGAAAACGCATCCAGAGTCTAGAGCTGCAGGAAAACGACGCAAAAAGAGCCTGAATCTTCGTGGCTGCCTCCTCCTCCTGTTTGCTGGGAGCTTCCTGGCACACTGTCAGAGTCGTTCACGAGGCTGCTTCCAACACTGATCCCTTTGCATTTGTTGCCCAGCATGGTGCCTTCGCGGCTTTCTCCGGCTGCTTGCTGCGGCCGTCCTGCTGATCTTGATTTGGAGAAGTTGTGCTGCTGGACGCCAGCATGCACAGACCGATGCCGTGTGCTTACGCCTTTGTGCATCGGAAGGGATCCTTGACTAATTAGCTGGGGCACAACAGCCGAGGCGGGGGGTTGAGGGCACAGTCTGATGTCTGATGTTCAGGTTCAGGGAAAGCGGAAATCAATGGTGTTTCACATCTGGGCATGACCTTTGCAAAGCAACCACATGACAATGCGTGGGCGGCACTTTACATCGTTTCTCGTCCCAAGCACGACCGAACAACTGAAGAGCTTTGAAACCCTCAAGGCAGTGGCTTTTCGGGAAAGGTTGGCCCGATGGATTGCCTGTTTCCACGGGCCGGTATTGGCAGTTTCACGTCGAATAAAGCGGGATTCACGAGCTGGAGTTTGGTGGGTCTAACGACGAAAGATAAAGCGCCGAATCTTCGTGGCCGCCTCCTCCTCCTGCTTGCTCTCACTTTCCTGGCACATTGGCAAGAAGTCTTTCACGCCCAAAACTTTTCTACTCGAGCCACCAAGGTTGTCAGGCTACCTGACAAACTCGATTGCAGTTCATGTCGGCGGAGAACAAGCACCAAACAACCCGAAAAAAGGCAACAATGAGCCCTACGCGGCCTTTGCTGCTTGATCCGGCTGCTTGCTGCGGCCGTCCTGGACGTTGAGACTGCACAGACTTTGTCGCGTGCTTGGGCTGAAGAGATCGTTGACGAAACAGCCGGGGCACAAGCGCTCAGATCAGGGTTGTACCGCATCACGGGGCGTAAAAAAGTCTACATCGTTCTCGTCCGAACCTCGTCCGAACATCCGAAGCCCCGAAGCCCTCATTCAGCCGAAGTGGCCTTTCTGGCGAGGTTGCCTCGGTGGATTGCCTGCTTGAGCGGAATGTCGTTCACAGCTCCACTTTGAATTAGGAGGGCTTCAACCATCACTTCAGTTTCCCTCTCACAACGAACACGCATCCAGAGTCTAGAGCTGCAGGAAAACGACGCAAAAAGAGCCTGAATCTTCGTGGCTGCCTCCTCCTCCTGTTTGCTGGGAGCTTCCTGGCACACTGTCAGAGTCTTTCACGAGGCTGCTTGCAACACGGATCCCTTTGCATTTGTTGCCCAGCATGGTGCCTTCGCGGCTTTCTCCGGCTGCTTGCTGCGGCCGTCCTGCTGATCTTGACTTGGAGAAGTTGTGCTGCTGGACGCCAGCATGCACAGACCGATGCCGTGTGCTTACGCCTTTGTGCATCGGAAGGGATCCTTGACTAATTAACTGGGGCACAACAGCCGAGGCCGGGGGTTGAGGGCACAGTCTGATGTCTGATGTTCAGGTTCAGGGAAAGCGGAAATCAATGGTGTTTCACATCTGGGCATGACCTTTGCAAAGCAACCACATGACAATGCGTGGGCGGCACTTTACATCGTTTCTCGTCCCAACCACGACCGAACAACTGAAGCTCCGAACACTTCATCCAGCCGGCTTGCAAACCCTTAACGGATTGGCCTTTCGGGCGAGATTGCCCCGATGTATTGCCTGTTCGCACGGATCGGCATTGGCAGCTTCGCTTTGGAATAAAGAGCGCTTCTAAGCACTGGAGTTCGGCGGGCCTAACGACGATGAAACAAAGCGCCTAGAGCTGCAGGATTTCAACTCAAAGGGAGCCTGAATCTTCGTGGCCGCTTCCTCCTCCTGCTTGCTCTCAGCTTCCTGGCACATTGGCAAGAGGTCTTTCACGCCCAACACCTTTCTACTCGAACAACCAAGGTTGTTGGGCTACCTGACAATCTGCTTGCAGCAACAACGAACCCTCTACATTGCTCGGCATGCGGCCTTTGCTGCTTGATCCGGCTGCTTGCTGCGGCCGTCCTGGACGTTGAGACTGCACAGACTTTGTTTCGCGCTTACAACTTTCGGCGGCTGAAAAGAGGTCTGTTCTTGGGGGTTTCCCGGGAACTGCTTTGTGTTCAGGACTTCGGAGATTGGAATTTGAACCTCGCTTTGGAACTTCGCGGGGGATGGGGGGAATAACGACGTTTTATGACGACATGATGATGACGAAATGATGGTGATAGGATCGAGCAGCCGAGCATCGCAACATTTTGGCTGCGCACTGGGTTCACAATGTTCACAAGACTTCAAGCCAAAACCCCGTGAACAGTAAACACACAAGAACGACGGTAGACCTCAAGCCTTGAACCCGTCTCAGACTCTAGACTCTAAACCCCAAAACTGCCAAAAACCAACACTATCGATAATCTCTGTCTTTCTCGAGGTGTACGCAGTGCTGCAAAGACCAGCCGATTTGCTCGTCGTCGTTGCAAATATACTGTGAAACGCATGGTTTTTTGATGTGCTGCGGTACGTCTCCGCACTCGCATGTTTCGTTTCAGGCATCAACACACGAATCCCCAGAACTTTCAACGGAAACACAACAAAAAGCCACGACTATCCGGATTCTGCACGAAGTGCTGCAAATACTGTAGCAATGAACTCGGCGCCGCCCTCTTGCGAATACATCATGAACCCAAGGGTTTCGTGATGTTTCCAAGTCTTACTCCGCACTCCCACGAAACAAAACCTTGAGTTTTCGCATGTATTCTTGTTAGAACGATGCCTAAACCTTGCTTTCGAACATCTTTGCGCACGCACCTCCCACCTATAAGATCCTATAAGTACGGCGAAGACAACATGTTCCGAATGGCGTAGCTCTGTTGTGTAAGTGCAAAATCACTGGTACTTGCAGTACGTTCGAGCCCTTGCAACAACTTCTTCTGAAGAGATCGTTGACGAAACAGCCGGGGCACAAGCGCTCAGATCAGGGTTGTACCGCATCACAGGGCGTAAACAAAGTCTACATCGTTCTCGTCCGAACCTCGTCCGAACATCCGAAGCCCCGAAGCCCTCATTCAGCCGAAGTGGCCTTTCTGGCGAGGTTGCCTCGGTGGATGGCCTGCTTCAGCGGAATGTCGTTCACAGCTCCACTTTGAATTAGGAGGGCTTCAGTTTCCCTCTCACAGCGAACACGCATCCAGAGTCTAGAGCTGCAGGAAAACGACGCAAAAAGAGCCTGAATCTTCGTGGCTGCCTCCTCCTCCTCCTCCTGTTTGCTGGGAGCTTCCTGGCACACTGTCAGAGTCTTTCACGAGGCTGCTTGCAACACTGATCCCTTTGCATTTGTTGCCCAGCATGGTGCCTTCGCGGTTTTCTCCGGCTGCTTGCTGCGGCCGTCCTGCTGATCTTGATTTGGAGAAGTTGTGCTGCTGGACGCCAGCATGCACAGACCGATGTCGTGTGCTTACGACTTTTGCATCGGAAGAGATCCTTGACTAATTAAAGGGGGTACGACAGCCCAGGGGGGGGTTGAGGGCACAGTCTGATGTCTGATGTTCAGGTTCAGGGAAAGCGGAAATCAATGGTGTTTCACATCTGGGCATGACCTTTGCAAAGCAACCACATGACAATGCGTGGGCGGCACTTTACATCGTTTCTCGTCCCAACCACGACCGAACAACTGAAGCTCCGAACACTTCATCCAGCCGGCTTGCAAACCCTTAACGGATTGGCCTTTCGGGCGAGATTGCCCCGATGTATTGCCTGTTCGCACGGATCGGCACTGGCGGCTTCGCTTTGGAATAAAGAGCGCTTCTAAGCACTGGAGTTCGGCGGGCCTAACGACGATGAAACAAAGCGCCTAGAGCTGCAGGATTTCAACTCAAAGGGAGCCTGAATCTTCGTGGCCGCTTCCTCCTCCTGCTTGCTCTCAGCTTCCTGGCACATTGGCAAGAGGTCTCTCACGCCCAACACCTTTCTACTCGAACAACCAAGGTTGTTGGGCTACCTGACAATCTGTTTGCAGCAACAACGAACCCTCTACATTGCTCGGCATGCGGCCTTTGCTGCTTGATCCGGCTGCTTGCTGCGGCCGTCCTGGACGTTGAGACTGCACAGACTTTGTTTCGCGCTTACAACTTTCGGCGGCTGAAAAGAGGTCTGTTCTTGGGGGTTTCCCGGGAACTGCTTTGTGTTCAGGACTTCGGAGATTGGAATTTGAACCTCGCTTTGGAACTTCGCGGGGGATGGGGGGAATAACGACGTTTTATGACGACATGATGATGACGAAATGATGGTGATAGGATCGAGCAGCCGAGCATCGCAACATTTTGGCTGCGCACTGGGTTCACAATGTTCACAAGACTTCAAGCCAAAACCCCGTGAACAGTAAACACACAAGAACGACGGTAGACCTCAAGCCTTGAACCCGTCTCAGACTCTAGACTCTAAACCCCAAAACTGCCAAAAACCAACGCTATCGATAATCTCTGTCTTTCTCGAGGTGTACGCAGTGCTGCAAAGACCAGCCGATTTGCTCGTCGTCGTTGCAAATATACTGTGAAACGCATGGTTTTTTGAAGTGCTGCGGTACGTCTCCGCACTCGCATGTTTCGTTTCAGGCATCAACACACGAATCCCCAGAACTTTCAACGGAAACACAACAAAAAGCCACGACTATCCGGATTCTGCACGAAGTGCTGCAAATACTGTAGCAATGAACTCGGCGCCGCCCTCTTGCGAATACATCATGAACCCAAGGGTTTCGTGATGTTTCCAAGTCTTACTCCGCACTCCCACGAAACAAAACCTCGAGTTTTCGCTGTATTCTTGTTAGAACGATGCCTAAACCTTGCTTTCGAACATCTTTGCGCACGCACCTCCCACCTATAAGATCCTATAAGTACGGCGAAGACAACATGTTCCGAATGGCGTAGCTCTGTTGTGTAAGTGCAAAATCACTGGTACTTGCAGTACGTTCGAGCCCTTGCAACAACTTCTTCTGAAGAGATCGTTGACGAAACAGCCGGGGCACAAGCGCTCAGATCAGGGTTGTACCGCATCACAGGGCGTAAACAAAGTCTACATCGTTCTCGTCCGAACCTCGTCCGAACATCCGAAGCCCCGAAGCCCTTATCAGCCGAAGTGGCCTTTCTGGCGAGGTTGCCTCGGTGGATGGCCTGCTTGAGCGGAATGTCGTTCACAGCTCCACTTTGAATTAGGAGGGCTTCAACCATCGCTTCAGTTTCCCTCTCACAACGAACACGCATCCAGAGTCTAGAGCTGCAGGAAAACGACGCAAAAAGAGCCTGAATCTTCGTGGCTGCCTCCTCCTCCTGTTTGCTGGGAGCTTCCTGGCACAATGTCAGAGTCTTTCACGAGGCTGCTTGCAACACTGATCCCTTGCATTTGTTGCCCAGCATGGTGCCTTCGCGGCTTTCTCCGGCTGCTTGCTGCGGCCGTCCTGCTGATCTTGATTTGGCGAAGTTGTGCTGCTGGACGCCAGCATGCACAGACCGATGCCGTGTGCTTACGACTTTTGCATCGGAAGGGATCCTTGACTCATTAACTGGGGTACGACAGCCCAGGCGGGGGTTGAGGGCACAGTCTGATGTCTGATGTTCAAGTTCAGGCAAAGCGGAAATCAACGGTGTTTCACATCTGGGCATGACCTTTGCAAAGCGACCACATGACAATGCGTGGGCGGAACTTTACATCGTTTCTCGTCCCAACCACGACCGAACAACTGAAGCTCCGAACCCTTCATCCAGCTGGCTTGCAAACCCTTAACGGATTGGCCTTTCGGGCGAGATTGCCCCGATGTATTGCCTGTTCGCACGGATCGGCACTGGCGGCTTCGCTTTGGAATAAAGAGCGCTTCTAAGCACTGGAGTTCGGCGGGCCTAACGACGATGAAACAAAGCGCCTAGAGCTGCAGGATTTCAACTCAAAGGGAGCCTGAATCTTCGTGGCCGCTTCCTCCTCCTGCTTGCTCTCAGCTTCCTGGCACATTGGCAAGAGGTCTTTCACGCCCAACACCTTTCTACTCGAACAACCAAGGTTGTTGGGCTACCTGACAATCTGCTTGCAGCAACAACGAACCCTCTACATTGCTCGGCATGCGGCCTTTGCTGCTTGATCCGGCTGCTTGCTGCGGCCGTCCTGGACGTTGAGACTGCACAGACTTCGTCGCGCGCTTACAACTTTCGGCGGCTGAAAAGAGGTCTGTTCTTGGGGGTTTCCCGGGAACTGCTTTGTGTTCAGGACTTCGGGGATTGGAATTTGAACCTCGCTATGGAACTTCGCGGGGGATGGGGGGAAATAACGACATTATGATGACGACATGATGATGACGAAATGATGGTGAGAGGAACGAGCAGCCGAGCATCACAACATTTTGGCTGCGCACTGGGTTCACAATGTTCACAAGACTTCAAGCCAAAACCCCGTGAACAGTAAACACACAAGAACGACGGTAGACCTCAAGCCTTGAACCCGTCTTAGACTCTAAACCCCAAAACTGCCAAAAACCAACACTATCGATAATCTCTGTCTTTCTCGAGGTGTACGCAGTGCTGCAAAGAGCAGCCGATTTGCTCGTCGTCGTTGCAAATATACTGTGAAACGCATGGTTTTTTGATGTGCTGCGGTACGTCTCCGCACTCGCATGTTTCGTTTCAGGCATCAACACACGAATCCCCAGAACTTTCAACGGAAACACAACAAAAAGCCACGACTATCCGGATTCTGCACGAAGTGCTGCAAATACTGTAGCAATGAACTCGGCGCCGCCCTCTTGCGAATACATCATGAACCCAAGGGTTTCGTGATGTTTCCAAGTCTTACTCCGCACTCCCACGAAACAAAACCTTGAGTTTTCGCATGTATTCTTGTTAGAACGATGCCTAAACCTTGCTTTCGAACATCTTTGCGCACGCACCTCCCACCTATAAGATCCTATAAGTACGGCGAAGACAACATGTTCCGAATGGCGTTGCTCTGTTGTGTAAGTGCAAAATCACTGGTACTTGCAGTACGTTCGAGCCCTTGCAACAACTTCTTCTGAAGAGATCGTTGACGAAACAGCCGGGGCACAAGCGCTCAGATCAGGGTTGTACCGCATCACAGGGCGTAAACAAAGTCTACATCGTTCTCGTCCGAACCTCGTCCGAACATCCGAAGCCCCGAAGCCCTCATTCAGCCGAAGTGGCCTTTCTGGCGAGGTTGCCTCGGTGGATGGCCTGCTTCAGCGGAATGTCGTTCACAGCTCCACTTTGAATTAGGAGGGCTTCAACCATCGCTTCAGTTTCCCTCTCACTGCGAACACGCATCCAGAGTCTAGAGCTGCAGGAAAACGACGCAAAAAGAGCCTGAATCTTCGTGGCTGCCTCCTCCTCCTGTTTGCTGGGAGCTTCCTGGCACAATGTCAGAGTCTTTCACGAGGCTGCTTGCAACACTGATCCCTGTGCATTTGTTGCCCAGCATGGTGCCTTCGCGGCTTTCTCCGGCTGCTTGCTGCGGCCGTCCTGCCGATCTTGATTTGGCGAAGTTGTGCTGCTGGATGCCAGCATGCACGGACCGATGCCGTGTGCTTGCGACTTCGTGCATCGGAAGGGATCCTTGACTAAATAACTGGGGCACGACAGCCTAGGTGGGGTATGAGGGCACAGTCTGATGTCTGATGTTCAAGTTCAGGGAAAGCGGAAAATCAAACGTGTTTCACGTCTGGGCGTGACCTTTGCAAAGCAACCGCATGACAAGGCGTGAGCGAAACTTTATATCGTTTCTCGTCCCAACCACGACCGAACAACTGAAGCTCCGAACCCTTCATCCAGCCGGCTTGCAAACCCTTAACGGATTGGCCTTTCGGGCGAGATTGCCCCGATGTATTGCCTGTTCGCACGGATCGGCACTGGCGGCTTCGCTTTGGAATAAAGAGCGCTTCTACGCACTGGAGTTTGACGACGATACACAAAGCGCCTAGAGCTGCAGCATTTCAACTCACAGGGAGCCTGAATCTTCGTGGCCGCTTCCTCTTCCTGCTTGCTCTGAGCTTCCTGGCCAGTGCCAGAGTCTTTCACAAAGCTGTTCACACAGCCTACTTCCCACCCCAACAACACTAGTGCTGATGAAGCTCACGCATAAAGCAACCCAAATCCAAGCAACAAGGAACCCTCCGCAGCATCCGTTGCTCGGCACGTGGCCTTCGCCGCTTTCTGAGGCTGCTTGCTACGGCCGTCCTGCTGATCATGATTTGACGAAGTTGTGATGCTGCTGCACGTCAAGAATACGCATAATGTCAGATAACCTGGTCGTGGGCTTACGACTTTAGCATCGGAAGATATCCCCGACGAATCAGCTGGGGGTTTGGGGTTGAGGGTGCAAGTCACCGTCACGGAAACATCAAAAATCTTCACAGCTCAGCGAGCCCCGCCCCCCTTCCCGTTGCAAAGCAACGCAACCGCATGACGGGGCTTCTTGGCCCAACCTCCCGAAGCTCCGAACCCTTCATCCAGCCGGCTTGCAAGCAAACCCTCAACGGAGTGGCCTTTCGGGCGAGGTTGCCCCGATGTATTGCCTGTTTCGCACGGATCGGCATTGACAGCTTCGCTTTGGAGTAAAGAGCGCTTCAAGCGCTGGAGTTTGGCGGGCCTAACGACGTCAAACAAAGCGCCTAGAGCTGCAGCAGTTCGACTCAAAGGGAGCCTGAATCTTCGTGGCCGCTTCCTCTTCCTGCTTGCTCTGAGCTTCCTGGCACAGTGCCAGAGTCTTTCACAAAGCTGTTCACTCAGCCCACTGCCGAACAACACAAGTGCTGATGAAGCTCACGCATAAAGCAACCCAAATCCAAGAAACAAGGACCCCCGCAGCATCCGTTGCTCGGCACGTGGCCTTCGCCGCTTTCTCCGGCTGCTTGCTACGGCCGTCCTGCTGATCATGATTTGACGAAGTTGTGATGTTGCCGCACGTCAAGAATACGCGTAATGTCAGATAGCCTGGTCGTGGGCTTACGACTTTAGCGTCGGAAGAGATCCTCGACGAATCAGCTGGGGGTTGGGGTTGAGGGTGCAAGTCACCGTCACGGACACATCAAAAATCTTCACAGCTCAGCGAGCCCCGCCCCCCTTCCCGTTGCAAAGCAACGCAACCGCATGACAGGGCTTCTTGGCCCAACCTCCCGAAGCTCCGAACCCTTCATCCCTCAACGGAGTGGCCTTTCGGGCGAGGTTGCCCCGATGTATTGCCTGTTCGCACGGATCCGCATTGGCAGCTTCGCTTTGGAATGAAGAGCGCTTCAAGCGCTGGAGTTTGGCCGGCCTAACGACGATAAACAAAGCGCCTAGAGCTGCAGCATTTCAACTCAAAGGGAGCCTGAATCTTCGTGGCCGCTTCCTCTTCCTGCTTGCTCTGAGCTTCCTGGCACAGTGCCAGAGTCTTTCACAAAGCTGTTCACACAGCCCACTTCCGAACAACACAAGTGCTGAAGCTCAAGCAAAAAGCAACCCGAAACCAAGCAACAAGGAACCCTCAGCATCCGTTGCTCAGCACGGGGCCTTCGCCGCTTTCTCCGGCTGCTTGCTACGGCCGTCCTGCTGATCATGATTTGACGAAGTTGTGATGCTGCTGCACGTCAAGAATACGCATAATGTCAGATAACCTGGTCGTGGGCTTACGACTTTAGCATCGGAAGAGATCCTCGACGAATCAGCTGGGGGTTGGGGTTGAGGGTGCAAGTCACTGTCACGAAAACATCAAAAATCTTCACAGCTCAGCGAGCCCCGCCCCCCTTCCCGTTGCAAAGCAACGCAACCGCATGACGGGGCTTCTTGGCCCAACCTCCCGAAGCTCCGAACCCTTCATCCCTCAACGGAGTGGCCTTTCGGGCGAGGTTGCCCCGATGTATTGCCTGTTCGCACGGATCGGCATTGCCAGCTTCGCTTTGGAATGAAGAGCGCTTCAAGCGCTGGAGTTCGGTGGGCCTAACGACGATGAACAAAGCGCCTAGAGCTGCAGCATTTCAACTCAAAGGGAGCCTGAATCTTCGTGGCCGCTTCCTCTTCCTGCTTGCTCTGAGCTTCCTGGCACAGTGCCAGAGTCTTTCACAAAGCTGTTCACACAGCCTACTTCCCACCCGAACAACACTAGTGCTGATGAAGCTCACGCATAAAGCAACCCAAATCCAAGCAACAAGGACCCTCCGCATCCGTTGCTCGGCACGTGGCCTTCGCCGCTTTCTCCGGCTGCTTGCTACGGCCGTCCTGCTGATCTTGATTTGACGAAGTTGTGATGCTGCTGCATGTCACGCATACGCGTAATGTCAGATAATCTTGTCGTGGGCTTACGACTTTAGCGTCGGAAGAGATCCTCGACGAATCAGCTGGGGGTTGGGGTTGAGGGTGCAAGTCACCGTCACGGAAACATCAAGAATCTTCACAGCTCAGCGTGCCCCGCCCCCCTTCCCGTTGCAAAGCAACGCAACCGCATGACGGGGCTTCTTGGCCCAACCTCCCGAAGCTCCGAACCCTTCATCCCTCAACGGAGTGGCCTTTCGGGCGAGGTTGCCCCGATGTATTGCCTGTTCGCACGGATCGGCATTGGCAGCTTCGCGTTGGAATGAAGAGCGCTTCAAGCGCTGGAGTTTGGCCGGCCTAACGACGATAAACAAAGCGCCTAGAGCTGCAGCATTTCAACTCAAAGGGAGCCTGAATCTTCGTGGCCGCTTCCTCTTCCTGCTTGCTCTGAGCTTCCTGGCACAGTGCCAGAGTCTTTCACAAAGCTGTTCACACAGCCCACTTCCGAACAACACAAGTGCTGAAGCTCAAGCAAAAAGCAACCCGAAACCAAGCAACAAGGAACCCTCAGCATCCGTTGCTCAGCACGGGGCCTTCGCCGCTTTCTCCGGCTGCTTGCTACGGCCGTCCTGCTGATCATGATTTGACGAAGTTGTGATGCTGCTCGTCACGCATACGCGTAATGTCAGATAATCTTGTCGTGGGCTTACGACTTTAGCGTCGGAAGAGATCCTCGACGAATCAGCTGGGGGTTGGGGTTGAGGGTGCAAGTCACCGTCACGGAAACATCAAGAATCTTCACAGCTCAGCGAGCCCCGCCCCCCTTCCCGTTGCAAAGCAACGCAACCGCATGACGGGGCTTCTTGGCCCAACCTCCCGAAGCTCCGAACCCTTCATCCCTCAACGGAGTGGCCTTTCGGGCGAGGTTGCCCCGATGTATTGCCTGTTCGCACGGATCGGCATTGGCAGCTTCGCTTTGGAATGAAGAGCGCTTCAAGCGCTGGAGTTTGGCGGGCCTAACGACGTCAAACAAAGCGCCTAGAGCTGCAGCAGTTCGACTCACAGGGAGCCTGAATCTTCGTGGCCGCTTCCTCTTCCTGCTTGCTCTGAGCTTCCTGGCACAGTGCCAGAGTCTTTCACAAAGCTGTTCACACAGCCCACTTCCGAACAACACAAGTGCTGAAGCTCAAGCAAAAAGCAACCCGAAACCAAGCAACAAGGAACCCTCAGCATCCGTTGCTCAGCACGGGGCCTTCGCCGCTTTCTCCGGCTGCTTGCTACGGCCGTCCTGCTGATCATGATTTGACGAAGTTGTGATGCTGCTGCACGTCAAGAATACGCATAATGTCAGATAACCTGGTCGTGGGCTTACGACTTTAGCGTCGGAAGAGATCCTCGACGAATCAGCTGGAAGTTGGGGTTGAGGGTGCAAGTCACCGTCACGGAAACATCAAGAATCTTCACAGCTCAGCGAGCCCCGCCCCCCTTCCCGTTGAAAAGCAACGCAACCGCATGACGGGGCTTCTTGGCCCAACCTCCCGAAGCTCCGAACCCTTCATCCCTCAACGGAGTGGCCTTTCGGGCGAGGTTGCCCCGATGTAATGCCTGTTCGCACGGATCGGCATTGGCAGCTTCGCTTTGGAATGAAGAGCGCTTCAAGCGCTGGAGTTTGGCGGGCCTAACGACGTTAAACAAAGCGCCTAGAGCTGCAGCATTTCAACTCAAAGGGAGCCTGAATCTTCGTGGCCGCTTCCTCCTCCTGCTTGCTCTGAGCTTCCTGGCACAGTGCCAGAGTCTTTCACAAAGCTGTTCACCAGCCAACATTTTTCTACCTGAGCCACTGAGTTTGCCTGGTTAGCCGAAAGCCTCTCTTCCCGTTCAGGAAATATCAAGCATAAAACAGCCGGAAACCCAGCAACACTGAGCCCTCTGCATCTGTTGCTCAGCACGGGGCCTTCCCCGCTTTATCCTGCTGCTTGCTGCGGCCGTCCTGCCGCTGGCGTCCCGTCTTTGCTTTGCGAAGTTGCACTGCTGCCGGACGCCCAAACTTCGTGCGCTTACATCTTCGGTGTCGGAAGAGATCCCTGCCGAACTAGCTGAAACACGAGTGGCTAGGTTGGGTTTAGGGCGACATTGTACTGTCAGAAGGCAGAAAATCAAAGGTGTTCAGATCGCGTCAGTACAAGTTCGCGTCAGTACAAGTTTTCACCGTTCTCATCCAAACGCCCGAAGCCCGAAGCCCTCATTCAGCCGAAGTGGCCTTTCGGGCGAGGTTGCCTCGGTGGATGGCCTGCTTGAGCGGAATGTCGTTCACAGCTCCGAGATGAATTAGGACGGCTTCAACCATCACTTCAGCTTCCCCCTCACAACGAACATGCATCCAGAGTCTAGAGCTGCAGGAAAAGGACGCAAAAAGAGCCTGAATCTTCGTGGCTGCCTCCTCCTCCTGTTTGCTGGGAGCTTCCTGGCACACTGTCAGAGTCTTTCACGAGGCTGCTTGCCCAGCAATTCTGTGGCTTTGAAACATCGACACCAAGCAACAATGAGCCCTCTCATCCGTTGTTCTGCAACACGCCTTGGCCGCGTTCTCCTTGTCCTTGCCCCGGCGGTCCTGCTGGTAAGCTGCAAGGTGCAGTCTGGTTGTGCCTTCTTTCCCTTCTTTCTTCGATACATACGTTGTCTGGCCTTACATCGGCAGGTGCTACAAGGCCTAGGGCCTGGGCGAGGACTGATGCTGACAGAGACTGGATGCCGACGTGTTCTTGGTAACGTTGGGAAACCGAAACGTTCACACACTCGAAGGACAAAGTTGTGACAGGATATGACAGGCTGCCCTGAAGCTCTCTGAACACCCTCCCCCTCCATCCAATCTGGAAATGCCTACGAGAGAAACAGCCCTACTCAAGGTAGCAATGGGGTGGATGTCAAGCAGAGGGCTTGGCATTCTGGCGGTGCGAATTTTTCCCAAAGAGATGCAGGGATTCAAAAGGAGACTTGATCTTGGCAGCTGTCTCCTCGTCTTCTCTTTGGCTTTGTGCTTCCTGTCATGCAAGATCCATGAGCAAATAATCGACACGCAACAAATCCAAGGATCACCAAACGAAGCGGTCAACCCAAGCTGTTTTGCGTTTCACGCCTGCTGATAGCAGTGCGACGGTTTTATGGTGACTACATCTGTGACGGTTTTATGGTGACTACACGTGAACGAGTAAGGTCTCACGTCTAGATGTGAAAGCGGAGCGGAGCTTTTCTACCCGGAGAACCTGATCATGGTTTAATTTGATGCAACCTGCAGCATGACAGCAAACGCAGCTTTGACGACCCGACTGGCAGACGCCCTGGGAGCTGGTCACGGAAGCAGCTTCCTGCCTTCCGGGCGAGGTTGCCACGATGGATAGCCTCGCTTTCACATGCAGGCACGGTGGCGGGGCGTGGTCCAAAGTGCTCGAGCGGCACGAGACAGACCCTGTACCGTTGGCTTTGGGAGACTCGGAGGGCTGCGTCAAACCAGAAGGCGCCTGGATCTTCGTGGCTGCCTCCCCTTCCTTCGCTTCCTTGAACGGTTCTTGAAGCCAGCAATACGAACTTACTACGCTCCACCACCTGCAGATACCTAAACCGTCGAAGCCCCAATTTCAGTCCCGGAAGGGTAATGGGAGCAAAGCACCTTGGCGGCTTTCTTCTTCCGCTTGGCTTGGCCCTCCTGGCAATTGCAAGACACGGCTTGCAAAGTGTCAACGAAAGCTGAGTAGAGCTTCAGGGTTTTGCCCTTTTTTGGGGGTTGGGCTTGGCGATTCAGGGAAGCTAATCGAAAGCTTGAGGAGCCGGTCTGCGGTCCCAAAAATTATACTGGAGATGAGACCACGTACTATCCCAGTTAACGAAGTATCTGTCCTACTCGCCGAAACGAGCCTAACTGAAAACACCATGACCATAACTCACCACACGCCCGAACGAGGCATCCTGCTCCCACGCACCAACATGGGACTGCGATGAGACTCAGAACAAACTTTGCGATTGAAAAAACATGTCGTACTGAAGACTCCGGGGCCAAAACCCATGCGACTGTTCCGAGCAAGATTTGGTCAAGACCTCCACGGTAGACCGCCCCCGAGCCCGTGCCGCATGTTTACAGCGATCTTGACACATTCTCTCTGAACACAGGAACCCTTCATGGTGTTGGCACAGCTTAACTACGCTGCATTTTGCTAACTTTTCTGGGCCATGCGTGCACGTAGTCGTCATCTCGACTCGGGATATTGCTATCGACAACCGCCAGCAAACCCCCTCCCCAGTTGGATAAGGAGATGGTGCCTTCCGAGCCAGATTGCCACGGTGGATCGCCTGGCACGAAGTTGGTCCCAGCATCGCTTCCAAACTGTTTCGCGCAGACGCTACCTGGATCTTGGTGGCCGCCTGCGCTTGCTGCTTGTCTCGAGCATCCTGCCAGCACTGAGCATCTGCCCCGTTCTTTGCCACACTATCTTGTCAGCCACTGCTGCTGCTACTGCTACTGCTACTGCTCCTGCTCCTGCTCCTGCCATGGCGACTGACAGCCACTGCCACTGCCACTGCCACTGCCACTGCGACTGCGACTGCCACTGCCACTGCCACTGCCACTGCTACTGCTACTGCTACTGCTACTGCTACTGCTACTGCTGCTGCTGCTGCTGCTGCTACTACTACCACCACAACTGCTACCACAAACAGTTCTACGCCCCACCTTGTCAGTTTGCCCAGCAGGAGGTTCGGCCACAGCGACCTTGCGTCCCCGAAGGCGCAGCTAAAACAAGATTTTAAGAGCTTTGACTGCAGCTTAATCTGTAAGGAAGTCTGCGCCCAGAACGCCGATTTCGAGCACCCGGCAGTCGAGCTCACGATCCTGCTGTCAACTGTTCCCGGCTTCAGGAGCTCATGATCCGTCCAAAGGCTTTTTGCTCTCGGAAAGCAGTTCCGAGACTGTGGAGCTCGAGTTGGACTTAAGTTTGAAGCATTTGGCAGATGCAAACCCCATACTTCCCCGCGTCTTCCCCCCGTCCTCAAGGTCAAGGGCCGCGCCCTCAATAGGGCCTTGAAGTCCTCACGCATGGGATGGACCGATGGATAAGCCAAGGTTGAAGGGGCTGCGCTCGACTCGACTCTAGACTTTGAGCCTCTGACAACCCTCGCCTCTACTTCTCGTCGCTAGGTGGCCCGAGAGGACATGACGATAGCAGAACGGGTGAAACAGCGATGTAGGAGCTTGCAATAACAGTGACTGAACAGACTGGCTTTGCCTAGCTTTCTTCTGGGTGCTAGATGCGAAGTTGGGTTGGATTCCAGACATCTTTTGTTCAAACTTTATGTTCTCAGGTTTGCTTGGCCTGGCTTCTTCGCCACCGCGGGCTTGGGGGCAAGGCAAGCTCTTGAACTCGGGTTGAGGCTGAAACGAGAAAGCCGATGAACCCCTTCCCAATGCATCCTCGTTCGACATGTCAGCAACTGCTATGCCATTGATGGCCGCAATCTCCTCTCCTCAGATGAAGGAACTGAGCAGTCGCGATCTCATCTGGTCGTAGCTTGGCGACGTGTTTTTCTTATGGTAAGCATCAACGGCTCCGGGCCGACACCAGCCCCCGAAAGTAGCTCAAGTTGCAATGATTGTCTTGGCGAGTGCTTCGAGGGACCGCCTGGACCTCTGGTCCGGAAATCCGAAATGCGGTGGGCCGCAAGCACTCAACGTACATCCAACGAACCCTCCTCAACCGTCGAGAGCCAAGCATTGAACCCATACATAAGAAGAAGTCAAGTTCCAGCCGTCTCGAGAGATGACTCCTTATGCTGGATATACTGGTCTCCGGCTCCACCGCGCATGTTTAGGCGAGGTGCCACCTTGGAATCCCACCGTGGCCGCCCAACTCCCAGGGGCGACCTCGTACAAGTAACAAAGAAGCTGCAGGCACAACTAACTATGCTGCCAAGGGAAGCTCCTCGCCTTGCTAACAACCAGAGGCTCCGGGGGAAGGGTCTTGAAGGACCTCGACTCTGACAGCTCTGCAGTTCCGGAGCCAAGGGCGGGAACCTGACTGCGCGTTGGAAAAACTCAGCTACGGGCAAACCGATCTTAACCACCTCCTCACCGGCTTCGACCTCCTCAAACTCCTCGGTGCCCCAAGCATTGCAAGGAGGAGAACTTCTGCGCGTGGACCCTCCCCCACGCGTGAGCAGAAGGCTCATGTACAGGCAGAGCAGGTAAGGCACTGCAGCTGACTACCGAGGGCCCTGCAGATGCTTGAAACCTGGCAAACCAATCTGTTGCAATTGACTTGAGACTGGTCTCAACTCTCGCAATCATGGGTGGTGCCTGATGAGTAAAGGGCGCGACTTCAACACCGACTTGAACCGCTCACCTTTGCTGTCTGGACACATCCGCAGGAACGAACTGATCCGGTACACAGCACGGTGTCATGCCTCTTGCTGCTGCATGTGGCTGTGCGTTCGAAGGTGCGTTGCTCGCATCATGGTGCACCCGAACATGGTCTGGTGCAGAACCGATTCTATGGCATTCTCGTGCAACATAACTTACATGGCATGACCTGTACAACACATGCAGTGTCACTACGTGCCGTAGTTGAGTGTGTGTGTGTGGCTGTTGATGACCAGCTTGGCTGCTTGTCATGGAGGCCACGTCCTCGTCGTTGAGGGCCAGGATCTCTTCACCTGGACTCTTCCCTCCCTGTGCCCGAAACATCGCGGAATCCAGGGCGTGACTTCTTGCAGCCGAAAGGGCCTCCGATGAAGCCCACGGACTCAGCCCAGGTACCAGCAGCCACCTTGTTGACGACGACCGGCTCGGGAGGCAGGTTGTGGAAGGACCTTCAGTGCAGCGCAAAGGGAAGTCGGGACCTCGAAGCAGAGAGGAGGCCCGAGACCCGGGCAGTCCGATTTTGGACACCTCCGGGCCAACTTCAACTTCCTGGACGAGGTCATCCTGCTCGTCCTCCTCCTCCTCCTGCCATGCATTACCGGCAAATTGAGAACTTCAGGGCTTCCAGCACCTTCTGAATCTCGAGCTGGCAAGTCTTGCTAGGGCCACGGCTTCTGCAGGCTGCTGAAACCTGCAACGCCACTCAGATTGGGAGGCGTCAGATTGCTGCTACACTCAGCACCAGAACCAAGAATCAAAACCAGGCAGCAAACATCTACCTTAAGACCCTACACCCTAAAGGCCCTAAAGGCCCTAAAGCCTACGCGGCCGGCCCCAGAGCAAAGCCAGGCGCGAGGCCTTAGCACGAGGGGTCTCACGCGAAGCGCCGCCTTGAAGTCCTCAAGGCTCAAAAGGCTCAAAAGGGGACTCCGTACGTGTACACGGGCTTACCGGCTTGACAAAAAGACTTTCGGCAGTAGAAACTTCGAGTGTCGACGGGCTCTGCAGATGTAGTTGAGAGGGGGCTGCTGGTCGCTTGGACTTAAGGTTGATGGGTTCGGGGTTGCTCGGACTCTGGGACTGTGTGGTTTGCATCTTCTTGTCGAGCAGTGGAGCTCAGGTTGCAACGGAATCTGGCGGGGGAACTTCCACATCTTGCGCTATGCTCTCCTTCTGTTTCATAGCCACTGAAACCCTGAACCCTAAGCTCTAAACCCAGCCTTCCATTCTCACCTAGGTGTTCGCTCTTCCTTCTCTCGGCTATCAGAAGCTATCAACCTGACTACGCATCAACTCCTTGCAGGTCCTCGCTGGACATGGCGACGGTGGACTCCCCGTTCACGACGAGGATCTCCTCTCCTGTGCACCCGAGGGCCCAGCGTGGCCTCAATGCCCTGCACTTCCGAAGTCAGGGCTCCTCCCAGAAAGCCGACCGACTCTGCCCAGCCGCCAGCAGCGACCTTGTTGACGATCACTGGCTCCGGAGGGAGGCTTTGAAAGGACCTGGGTTCCAGGGAGGGAAGAGTGAACATGGAGCGATTACCATTGCTGAGTTCCTTCTTGGCCCAAAGAGGCTTGTGTGATCATGGTCCAGCTGCTGCACAGGACATCGGCAAAACGCTGTGCATGTCATCGGAATTTGTTCTCTACTGGTCAAAATGATATCGGCCACACCAGTGACCAAAGACAGCCACAGGCTATGTTTGTGGTGTGTTGCAGTAAGCACGAACGAGAAGCAATGGCACAAACCTGTGCCGAAGAGCTCTCGTTTGAGCATTTGCTAGGAAGTGGGGCCCTGGAATCTCCTTTCAATGGTCAGCTGCAAAGTCCGGTTAAGGTGGACAGCATTTTTCGAAGCAACCGACCAATGCGGACATCAATGCAGCCTTGAGAAGGGTCTTCCGCTGGAGGTGCTGGCAAATGCAGCCCCGAGCCAGGACGAGGTCTACGAGCTCTGCAGCCACTATCACAATAGTTGCCCGAGAAAACTACCACGAGACTAAAGCATTCCTGGCTTCGAAACGCCTGGTGCATTCTAAGTCTGGCGTTCGACCTCTCTGCCGACAACTTCAGTCAACTTGCAAGCAACAGAGGGTGGAAGGAAGCAAGGCCACCGGACGTGCACCGAGTACAATGCTGGGGTGTCCGGCATTCCAAGTTTGTCGACATCCGAGCCGGCCACCGCGGCTTGTAGAGGCTCCTAACATCGCTGGCAGCGACGATTAACCTCTCTTTTCACACTGCGTGCCTCCTCAGGATCGTCGGAGATTCGGAACCTCCGCCACAGCAGCTCGACAGCAACTGCAGGAGCCGACTTTGTCCAAGTTGCCTGAGAGTCAGCGGCCGTGCTTTGAGGGCTGCCCGGAACTCCTGCAAAGCGCAGGGCACGGTACAATCTGCATCCGATCTCTGCAGCTGACATCTAAGATGCCAGGCACTGCGGTGGCAGTGCTCCTGCTGCGTCATGGTGGCGACATCAACTCCGTTGATGGCCACGATCTGCTGTCCTTGTCGACCCCCGCAGCGAGGGCTTACTAAAGTGCAAGGTCCACGGTCTGCCGGGAGGTGGCAATGCGACCCGAGGCTCCGCCCTGGATGCCTCGATCGGAGCCCCAGGTTGCAGGCGCGACGGTCTGCACCACCACGGGCTCCGGTGGCAGGGACTTGAAGGACCTGTGAAGCGAAAGGCAAGAAGGCGCTTGCGACTTGCGATCGACGCTTAGACTCCCTTTGAGGCTTCAGCAAGCCAATCTTCTGGACCTCAGGTCCAGCCTCTGCATCTTGCAGCTCGGCCTTCGCAACTCGAATCTTCAGGCCATGAAAGAGCAGAAAGAGCTCTTTGTCTCTGGCCCGGATGGTCACCTTCACCGGCATCCGCCTTTGCATCACGGCAGGGCAGATACAGGCGACACGACTTGCCAGCCCCCGCACCAGTTGGCCACCAACGCTTCTCTTCTGCTGCTGTCATGAGCGGAAACCGGTACATTATTCTCACAGTGAAACACAGGCAGAACATGGCATTTCGCCAATCCTGCAACGGCTAGGCGGGAGACATGATGTCGGTTAATGTCTTCACTTGCAGCACATCTGACATGCCCGGCATCTGACATGCCCGGTCGGCCATCACGCTTTCGGCTCGAAGACATCAAAGTCACCAGAAAACTCGACAGTGTCACCCTCTCTTACTCCGACATCTGCCAAGGTGAGATGGGGGTACAGGCGCTCCCTGTAGGATTCACCACCCTGCCGCTTGAAGACGTATCCACCCTGGGACCGACTGTGTGTGGTTAGCGTTGTCATGCCCACCTCCTTCCCAAACTTCCAGACTGAGTCGCCCATCTTGGCTCTTCCCGTGACTGTCCGGCTTTTGGATTTGTCCATCAGCACGACCGTAAGTGTCACCTGCAAAAAGGCACGTGTAGCCTGCGTATGAAAGACAGACCATGCAAGATCATGCTAAAATGCCGAAAATCATATCGCCAGCAATCAAAACCGCGAGACACAACAACTCAAATCTCGTTCTCATGTCTCAACAGAGTTGCTGCTGTCTCAGCATCTGCACGGGCACCGGGTGCAGGGGCGACAGGGTCGAAATCACCAGCAAACTCGACAGTGTCACCCTCCAAGACCCCGACATCTGCCAAGGTTAGATTGGGGTACATGCGCTCTTTGTAGGATTCACCGCCCTGCCGTCGGAAGATGTACTTAGACATCGTACTCAACGTTGCCATGCCCACTTCCTCCCCAAACTTCCAGACTGAGTCGCCCATCTTGGCTCTTCCCGTGACTGTCCGGCTTTTGGATTTGTCCATCAGCACGACCGTAAGTGTCACCTGCAAAAAGGCACGTGTAGCCTGCGTATGAAAGACAGACCATGCAAGATCATGCTAAAATGCCGAAAATCATATCGCCAGCAATCAAAACCGCGAGACACAACAACTCAAATCTCGTTCTCATGTCTCAACAGAGTTGCTGCTGTCCCAGCATCTGCACGGGCACCGGGTGCAGGGGCGACAGGGTCGAAATCACCAGCAAACTCGACAGTGTCACCCTCCAAGACCCCGACATCTGCCAAGGTTAGATTGGGGTACATGCGCTCTTTGTAGGATTCACCGCCCTGCCGTCGGAAGATGTACTTAGACATCGTACTCAACGTTGTCATGCCCACTTCCTCCCCGAACTTCCAGACTGAGTCGCCCATCTTGGCTAATCCCGTGACTGTCCGGCTTTTGGATTTGTCCATCAGCACGACCGTAAGTGTCACCTGCAAAAAGGCACGTGTAGCCTGCGTATGAAAGACAGACCATGCAAGATCATGCTAAAATGCCGAAAATCATATCGCCAGCGATCAAAACCACGAGACACAACAACTCAAATCTCGTTCTCATGTCTCAACAGAGTTGCTGCTGTCCCAGCATCTGCACGGGCACCGGGTGCAGGCGCGACAGGGTCGAAATCACCAGCAAACTCGACAGTGTCACCCTCCCTGACCCCGACATCTGCCAAGGTTAGATTGGGGTACATGCGCTCTTTGTAGGATTCACCGCCCTGCCGTCGGAAGATGTACTTAGACATCGTACTCAACGTTGCCATGCCAACTTCCTCCCCAAACTTCCAGACTGAGTCGCCCATCTTGGCTCTTCCCGTGACTGTCCGGCTTTTGGATTTGTCCATCAGCACGACCGTAAGTGTCACCTGCGAACTGTGGACACACACACGCATCACAGCATAGCTGGCAAAGAAACAAGCCTCGGAAACATGCAGAAAAGGACAGATCTCCAAGCGGGAAAAGCAGCAGAAGTGTGAGCAGAGTTGCCGCTGTCCCAGGATCGGTACGGGCATCAGTTGTAGGCTCGAAGACATCAAAGTCGCCAGAAAACTCGACAGTGTCACCATCCTTCACGCCGGCAGCTGCAATGGTTAGATCCGGGTACAGACGCTCCCTGTAGGATTCACCACCCTGCCGTCGGAAGACGTATCCTCCCTGTGATCGGCTGGAGGTCGTCAAGGATGCCATGCCCACGAGTAGCCCAAACTTCCAGACTGAGTCGCCCCTCCTTGCCCTTCCAGAGACTGTCTTACTCTTGGATTTGTCCATCAGCACGACTGACAGCGTTACCTTGTGGCAAAAATCTGCAGTGCAGCCGGATGTAGTGGTGTTTTGTAACATGTTCGCATAGTTCGTTGCCGACTTTTTCAGAAAGGAAAAGAGAACGCTGCCGGCAATCGTTGCCAGGAGTTTCAGACAACTTCGTGTGATCTTGGAGGGAGAGAGGGAGAGAGACAGAGACAGACAGACAGAGAGAGAGAGAGAGAGACAGAGAGACAGAGAGACAGAGAGACAGAGAGACAGAGAGACAGAGAGACAGAGAGACAGAGAGACAGAGAGACAGAGAGACAGAGAGACAGAGAGACAGAGAGACGGAAAGCGTGGGAGAGCTTCGCAATAGAGATCAATAGGGTGCGCAGTACAGTAAACAGACAACCACAAGACAGCTCACTACCAATTGCTAACGACTCACGAATACGTCACTACTAACTCCAGGCTTGGACGCCGCGCTAGCTAGGATCACTCAACCCGCTCGCCGAGCTTCCCGCAAAGCCGATCGCCAACTTTTCGAAAAGAAGTCACTACTTGATTGTTCGCTACTGTCTCCAATCTGTTCGGGAAGTGGAGGTCACAACAGTAGCACTCGGGTTGAGAGGGATGATCTATGATGATCTATGAGCCTCCGCATCGGAGCTCGGCAGATCTCGACGGGTGAAGTCACCCTCGAAGGCGACAAGAAGCTCCTGGCCCTCGAAACCGCCTCCGACAACTTCTGCGAAGGTGAGTGACGGATGCTCCAGGCTCTTCCAGCGTCTTCCTTCAAAGGAGAAAATGTAGCCCCCCAGCGTGGACAGCTTCTCCATTCCCAAAGACATGCCGAGATCCCATACGCAGGCCTCTGGGAGCACTGCTCCAAACTCCTCTGTTGTTTTGCTTCTATCCATCAAGTGGACCTGGAGAATGAGCGGTGTGCCTGCAGACTTGTCGAAGTCACCGGAAAACTCGACAACACTGCCCTCCTTTACCCCAACATCACTCAGCCTCAGGTTGGGATGTATGAGATTGCTCCACCTCCGCCCATCGTGGGTGAAGAGGTAGCCACGGCCATTCAGACTGGACAGCTCCAGCATGCCAACATCCCGCCCAAGGTGCCACACGGACAGATAAGTGGTGCCCTGCCAAGCTTTCTCCACAGTTCGGCTCCTGTCCACGAGCCTTACAGTTAAACTTACAAAGTCCCCTGGAGCGGCCATGGCGTTCTCGACCTGAGCGGCCTGGCTTTCCTTCAAAGCTTGAGTTTCATCTGCGGAGCGCAGGCGGAGTCAAAGAGCGCTCCCATCTCCTCTCGCGCCTCACAGCTCTCTTTTCGCGGAATGGAAAGGTGTTGGGGCCCACGAAAGCATTCTGCTTGCAGGGCGCTTTGAGCATGTCGGCTCAGCTCTGTACTTTGCACAGAGCCAGAGCTGCCAAGCTTGGAGATCTGAATTACTCGAAGGCTTGGGCTCAAGGTCAAGGCTTCTTCATGCAAAGAAAACTGGAGCTCCGGGGTGCTACCATGCTACCAGGGCTTCCGATGTGCACTCACTCTTCTTTGGGTTCCGGTGGGACCTCGACTGCAAACTCGACCCAGTCTCCGCTCTTAACGGCAGTCGCTGCAAGCGTCAGGTTGGGATACTGTTTGCTCCTCCATGTGGGACCTCCGTCTTTCCGGAAGGTGTAGCCGCATCCTGGCACGAGCTGGGCCTCCAGGGTCCTTAGGCCCAAGAGCTCCCCGAAGAGCCACACGGAGGTCAGGGCGGAAGCTTTTCCAAATCTCTGGCGGCTCACGACGTTGTCTGCCAGGGTCACATTCAAATAGACCTCGGGATGCAACGGATATAACCAGTAGAAGCAGAATGATCTTTGCTACGACCCTCTGATCCTCTACATAGCACGTTAGTTTTTTGACTGCTGACAGGCAGACAGGCAGCGACGGACTCGAAGTCACCGGCGAAGGTCACCGTCTCACCATCCTGGACTCCTGCTGCGGCCAAAGTCAGCGACTGGTGCTTATTCGGCCCATTGCTGAGCCACGTCTGTCCGGCATAGGTAAACAGGTATCCATGCAATGTCGCCAAATGGTCCATACCCACAGACACACCGAAGTCCCAGACGCAGGTTTCCAGTGAAGCCCTGCCGACGCATTCGCGCTGTCGCTTCTTGTGATCGATCAGCGTAACCCGAATCTGGGCCTTTGCAACTGGGGCGGGTGCAGCGGGGGCTGAAGGAACGGCACCGTCAGCAGCTGGTGTGCTCTCGCTCGTCGCGACTGTGTCTTTTTTGGTAGCGTCGGGTGTTCTCACACCCCGCGAACCCTCCGGCGTTCTCGCAGCCCTCGCACCTTCCTTCGGGGAATCCTTGACGCTGGCATCTTTCTTCGTGCTCTCGGGCGTTCTCACACCCCTCGAGCCCTCTGGCGTTCTCACGGGCCGTGTGCCCTCCTTCGGGGACTCCGTGGCACCGGCGTCTTTCTTCGTGCCCTGGGGTGTTCCCACACCTCTCGAGCCGGGCCTCGCACCCTCCTTTGGGGAATCCTTGGAACCGGCATCTCTGCCATTGGCGGTGCTGGCCCGGCTTCCACCGGCACAGTCGCTAACGGAGTCCGCCGGCTCGTCACCTGCCAGCGGCTCAAAGTCGCCAACAAACTCCACCAAGTCACCGTCTTGGACACCGGCTGCACTGAGGGTCAGAGCCGTGTGCTGGTTGCTCCGCCACGTCTTCCCCGCATGAGAGAACAAGTAGCCATGCAAAGCAGCCAAGTCGCGCATCCCCACAGATGTCCCAAACTCCCAGACCTTCAAGATCATGGGTGTGGGCATGCGCCCTAGCTCTGAACAGCCTTTGGAACCCTACGAACCCAAAACCCCACAAGAGACGGATGTAAAATGATTCAGTTTTCATACTATGTTAAGAGATGCCAAGAAGCCGTGGAATTGAGGAGGGTTGTGCCCATCCGCTCCCAGCTTTTTCCCTCATCACGGAGCGTTGCTCGAAGCTTCAGGTTCTGCTGCGACATGGCACCGGAACGGAACGGCCGGGAAGGCCCACTCAGTACAAAAGAGCGTGGAGCTTCAGTGCGGGCTCTCTCTCAGTTCACTTCGGCGAGTCTTTCAAAAGGGGGATGGGCGTGACTTGGGCGGTGGAGGTAACACTGCATCTCTACTACAGGCGTCTTGGGAGAAACGGCCGCAGTGCACATGTGACCAAACCAGCAGCGCGATGCCCCGTTCCAGACTCAAGCTGGGTCGGCGACCTCGAAGCACGGGCGAGCGCCCCGTTTCAGGGCACTGCCGAGTTTGCATCTGAGGCTCGACTGGGAGGCGGCACTTGCCGTAGGTCCGTAGGTTTCTGGATAGCCTGGGTTTCAACTTCCTCCGGCGAGCTTTGGCTCTGCAACCCATGTGACGTGCTCAGACAGGCCAATGCAGGTAATGAGGGGAGGTTGTCGGGCCAGGGTCTGTCTTCTGTGGCTCCGTGTGTGTTCCCGTGCCCGCTGCTGAGCCGTCGCCACGCGATTCCGAAGCACTGAGACCAGGTTCGGCCACTGCCCAACACAGGTCCACAAGCTTATTTTGCCCATCGGCCCTCGTGAGATACAAAACAGAAACTCTGCTGCACTGGGAAGGGCCCGGCACCCGCCGTGTCGGAGCTGACAACCACGCCAATCTGACACAGGTCTGAAGCGTAGCTTTCGGCAAGTGTGGGCACTTTCTGCAACTGGGGCACGACGACTTCCAGCGTCCCACGGCCCAAAGATGGCCAAAGCCGATCTAAAACGCAATCCTGCGGGGCCTTGAATCCGTCCAACGGCAATCCGCCACCAAAGGTTGAACCCTTCCACCTCAGCAAAAGTCTGTAATGTAAGTAAACAGGGTATGTCTCAGGGGCTGGGGCTACGTTTCAAGTGTACAGAAGGCTCTCGTCCTTCCCAGCAGCAAAGAAAACCAGGAAAAAGAACAAACGGCTGCGCATACCGATGAAATGGATGCAGCTTCAACACATGCACCGTGAAATTGGCCAAAACACCGAAGCTACCGACACAACAGCAAGACTTCTATTGCTTGACTGAGAATGCAACAGGCTGGACAAGACGCCAAAAGCATTGACAAACCCATGGCCAAGCTCCCAAACGTCCAATTGCACCATCTCCAAAATCCCTTTAACAGTGTAAGTGCTGACGCAAAAGCACTTGTACGCAACATGCGATGCGCAGCCCTCAAGCTTTGTCCTTCCAAATTCACAGATGCAGCAATGCCGACGGCAACAACAACTCGCCAAAACAATCATTTAAAGTTCCCGGACAGCAGTATGCTACGGTACACCGCTAAAGTCTGCAGACGCAGCAGCTGAAGGTCTGCACAAGTCCCATCGAAGAGTGACACCTGCGATTGCTGCTCGGCACATTGTAAAGAGACTCGTGGCATCCAGGTACTGCACAAAACAAGTCGCTTGATAAGCGAATTCCTTTTGGTAAGCCAGCTTGGAAGCCTGACCAGCTGGCTCATGCTTATTGTCATACCTCACAGCATACTTTCTTCCCGAGAAGGACTACCACTTTCCGTGCACATTTACTTGCATTGGGATAGTCGTAATGGTTGCGATGAATTCGAGCATACTCCCACCTGCTACTACTCCTACCCTGACAGATTTACAACTTCCTGCTAGTGCCTACTACTGGTAGTACTGCTGCTGCCTCCACTACCAGCACCAGTAACAGCAGCACTGCCAGCACCAAAACCACAACTTGTAATAGTACACAATTACTACTACCACTACTACTACTACTACTACTACTACTACTACTACTACTACTACTACTACTACTACTACTACTCCTACTCCTACTCCTACTGCTACTGCTACTGCTACTGCTACTACTACTCCTGCTACTACTGCTGCTACTACTACTACCTACCACTGCTACTGCTCCTCCTACTACTACTCTACTGCTACTGCTACTGCTGCCACTGCTACTGCTGCTACTTACTACTACTACTGTTACCACTGCGACTGCTACTGCTACTGCACTACTACTACTACTACTACCACTACTGCCACTACCACTACCACTACCACTACCACTACCACTACCACTACCTACCACTACACTACCACTACCACTACCACTACCACTACCACTACACTACTACTACTACTATACTACTACTACTCCTGCTGCTGCTGCTACTACTACTACTACTACTACTACTACTACTACTACTACTACTAGCACCACTACTACTACTACTACTCCTGACGCTTTAGCTGCTGCTACTGCTGCTTCCACACGTGACCCCCGGAATGCGTAGTAGGGTTGGAGCCACTGGCAACTTCCAGCGACAAAACAACAGTTTTGCGAAACCCCGAACTTAAACAGGACAGCGTACCCGAAACCCCAAACCGAGTGCCACACTCAACCCTAAAAAGGAGTGCTCGCTGCAAGCAGAAACCCTACAACAAGTGCTAAACCCTAAACCTTGAAGCAAATGAGGTGCGACAGCAAAATCCTTTTTTAAAAGAATACAAGCTTTAGGCGGGCGTGAAGTCCTAAACACTAAGCCCCTTTTCTCAACCGCAAGTTTGGGGCGAATCACGAAGGACAAAAAGGAGCGTAAGGAAACTGGACCCCCCCTCCGGCAGATGGAACGGGAACCTGAAGTTCAAATTGCATTGCTCAAGCCCTTTAACCCCAAAGGCCCTAAAGTAGCAAAACTTGGAATGCGAATGCTGGACCCACGCAAGTCTCTTACAGCGCTTGAAAATCTCTATGAGGTTCTGCCATGGCTTGAAGCCTGCCTCCGGAGCACTTGGCTTCTGCGGCACCCGTGCCGGAACGAAGACCTTGACTCGTCCCGACTGGCTACGACTTTCAGCCATACTCATGACAAAAAATATCTATACTTCGGGTACTAAGAAGAGCCATCAGAACCGGAGCGCAGACAAGAGGAAGAAGGACGACCGGACGGAAAAGAAGCCCGAGTCTGCCACGGGCGCTGAGGGAGGTGAAATGCTGCTCCGAGGTCCGTTAGATGCCTCAAGGGATGCTCCCACATTGATGCTGTAAGTTTTCGGTTCAGGTCTAGGTTTAAGGCTCTTTTTGGCGATCCATACAAGCTCAACAGACGTTCATGCATGATCCTATCGACACTGCAATACACTGTCCGGGCCTCCACCGAGAAGATGTATGTGCGATTCGGATCCACCTCAGAAGGAAGCTTTGTGTGGATTTGCCTGGATCTCATGTAAAGGTCTACCGTGCGATGTAGGAATTTCCGGAGTGAAAACCCCTGCCGATGTTCAGCTGGCCCGCTCAAGTTCGGTGTGTTTCCTTTGGACCACAACTCAGCATTGTGCAAGTCGAAGCTCGGAAGGCCAAGTCCAGGGCTGCAATGTGACACGAGCACAGGCTGCCCGGCGGCGGAAAGTGACTGCACAGCACGGCACAGGAAAAGTCGAAGCAGCTGCGAGACAAATTGAGAGCTACAGGTAATCGCACTGTTGAGCCTCTGTTTTCTGCGACGGCTGCTGCCATTCTGGGAACCGTACACACCCTAGGCTTGCTTGCCTAGGTGATCCAAGCTCCGACATGCCAGGGTCGCAACAACCCTGGAATCTCTGCCGTGGGCCATCTTTATGGGTTGCGTGTGGGGCTTGGCGAAGTGTCGTGTGCTTGAGTGAGACGAAAACGGTCGCCACTCCGAAGGCCAGCGATGCCCAGCTGCCGATGTCCAAAGAACTTGCTTGGGCCTGGGAATGCGGCTTTGAGAGAGAGACCTCGCCCAGGAAAATACGGTGGACTCTTGCTCTGCATGGGAGATTCGCTCGGCCCGACCAACCCATCTAAGAATCTAGAAATGGGATGGGCTCCTATGGCAAAGCCACCGTTTCTCCTGCGGTTTCTCCTACCCTACACATCCACAGCTGGTCACACCTCACTGCTGCGGCCGGACGAAGACGTGGAAATGTAGGTCATAACCTTCATGTGCATCTTCAGTCAACTTTGGTGCTGGGCATACAACAGCGGAGCTGCTGGTTTAAGTTTAGCTCTGAGACAACTCTAAAAGGTGATTTGGAGCCATCTCTGCATCGATTACTGCGCACTCCTTCCCGTGTAATACTTGGTTGATATGTACATACTCGCTTACTTGCATCTAATGAATCTAATCCATCTCGCCAAGTTGAGGTTGTCCAATCGCTGCTTGAAGGTCCCAGGGTCCGAAGCGGGGTCCCCTTTGCGGGCACATTTTCACCGGTTGGGGAAGGGTGTTTTCGTGGACCCTGAACTTTTGCTGCCACCCCCATACACATCCTGGCAAGACAACAGGGCAGCCTTTCCGGCCACACCCCCAACAAAAGACACTGCAAAGTAAGGTTGACATGATCCTTTCCGGTGCCTGTGAGCTGCTCCACACAAGGGCATGTGCACGCATACAAGGGCAGCATCATGTCTGTGATTCATCAACATACTTGCAGAGACAGTTGCAGCTCAGGCACAGTTCATTGTCAAGCCTGCGCTCTACTGCTGCGCACAAAGTCCTGAGCTGCAAGCTGATCATCGGCAAATGCTGATCACGTTTCCTTCCTCTTCGGCGGTCACATTCGGTTCTGCTGATCAATTGCCAGGCGGCTGCATATACGTATATTGTACAATCCCAGTACATCAAGCGCAATTGCCGCGAGATGTGATGCAGCAAGGACACGACAAATTCGTCGAGAACCACTGGCCATGCACCATTTTGCAGATCGTAGTCCTCGGATTGCGCGCACCAACTGCTTACGCCGCGAACAGCGAATCGCCACAGCTCAAACAAGAACGGGTGTCTGATAAATCCGGCTTGACCTGCGTCGCCAGGTCAAACAACATCATCCACGTGTCCTTGCGAGCTGGTCGGCCAGCACTCAAAAGCGCCCCTGGTCTTGCAGAGTCGGCGCCGCAAGAGCGAGATGCAGCCAAGCATCTTTCGACACGTGGTTCTTCACATTTTGCCTTTCAACACCGACCAGGTTGAGCAGAGAGTACTGCACCCAAAGGCTTCCAGCACCCATGGCCCCTTTCGCCGTGAGCCTCGACTTGCAACAACCTTTCGACCAAGATGCTCCACCCAACTGATCCACGTCTCGAGCAACGAGAAATGTGCCGGCAGCAAGAGCTTCCAAAACTCTATGCACATATCGACGGGAAGGCAACCTCAGCAGAGTATCGTACGACCATCGTCATATCGTGATCCATCGCAACCGAGATCAAACGCTGCGATTGCGATTCCCTTTGAGATCCCTGCGTTGGCCTGCCAGATGCAAGGCTTTGCAAAATGCATCCAACATCGCACTGCATTTATTCACTGAAGAATGTTCGCTGCCGGGCCTTGATCCAGAGCGAACTGAAACGTAAATGCATAGACCTGAACAGCCAAGAATACTGAATCGAGGCACGAGTTTAGAACTGCCATTTGGAAAGCTTGACTTCTGGCCTTTGAACGAGCAGAGAACATGCAATCTGAAAGCTGTGCAGTACTGCAAAGCATCGTCTCTTCAGTCTTTGATGGCGACACCTCTTTGCAAGCTCCGCGATCTTGGAGAGCCTCCAATCGTGCTGAGCTTGACACGATAACGGAAGCCACGGAAAGCTACGACACAGCATGTACAATTTTCGCTGCTTCTGAACTCACCGCGATCTGCGCTGGCCCCTGCAGCTGCTACAGACTCAAGGCCCTCATCATAAACTATCAATCCGAGATAGAGTCCTCAACACCCTGCACCTCAAACACACACCCACAAGGCAGATAGTCTCAACCCTCCACGGAACGCGAGGTCGCGAAGCAGAGGTCGAAGCTAAGCCCCTGGATGTCCTGCCGCATCTCTGGCAGCTTCGCACGGAGCTTCGGCAACTCGTCGGAGCCGAGGCGCTGCATACCAGTCTGGAACCTGACACGCTCAGTGTTGCGCTGATCATTTGGTCAGATATGCAGGATCAGCTAGTGGGAGGAGGGAGCTTGCAGCGAAGGCCAGCGAATGACGAACTCAGAATCGAACGAAGCATAACCTGTGCACTCCACTGGAGTTGTACGAACCGGCAGTACCCACAAGCTGTTCGGAGGGGGTAGGGTTCATTCGCAAAGGTGTCGGGGAAGCACATGAAAGTACCAATCCGCGCACACACAGACACACACGCATCTCAGTCTCGGGTCAGTAAGTTGCAGACTCTTCCCTGCTGAAGACACCCATCCTGATTGGCCACAGATGAATATCGACATGCTTAGTGTGACTCGATTCTGATGTGTGGTGGTCGAAGGCTTTGCACAGTAGGTAGGCTTCGCTTCATGTCATCTCAACTTTGATCATGCCGTCTGCACACAAGCCAGAAACGCCTGTGTCGGCTCCAGAGCTCTGGAATGATTCTTCGTGTTGAAAAGATCACTGAAGATTCACTGCATATCAAGGAGCTGCTGTGCCCGGCAGTGCCAAGCAAGAACCAACGTCACAGGATCAAGGGTCGAGATGCCCAGATCAGTGCAGAGCTCCTGAAGTGCCGATGGCAGCATCGAAGCAAACTTGAGCAGTGAATGCGTGGCCCACAGAATCGCACGTAACGAACACGCAAGAACACAGGCGTCTGGTTTTGGTGCTGCTTCATTCATTTTCCGCAGTCAGTCAAGCCGAGTCTCCTCGATGCCTTCGGGTCTAATCGTCTGATCCTGCAGCTCTGGGGTGGGAAATCTCACCATGAGGTTGTGCGCTTCGGAGCCGCAATGATCGAAGACAGCCACACAGCCTTTCACAGCACAGAAAAGACAAGCCTCGGCAGAAGCGTACTTCCTGAAGAACGCATCCAGCTTCCTGAGATAGCCAGGTCGTCGGTATGAACAGAACCACGACCGTTTGAAGGAAACCACGGAAGTTCTAATGAGAGATCCTGTCTATCTTCCGCAACGCAAGGTGGGAACTCCATCAGATCTGCAGTCTTATCTGCGCAAGGGCTTCGGGGTCCTGGATCCGTTTAATGCGCAGAAACATAAATAATAAATTCAAAGCCGTGCTAAGCCTGCGTCAACTGCATGCGGAAACTATGCACCGCGTAGTCTTGCAACGTGCAACCTGCACCCATTCAACCTGCGTGCCTGCAGATGTCCGCAGATTGCCACAACATGGTCTTCAGCACTAGACGTTGCTTAAGTCCCAGAATACAAGGACTCGAAACTGACAAGGCTCTTGGCATCCAGATGCTCCTGTGGGGCAGCACCGAAAGAGTTGCCTTCTGCGAAGAAGACATCCAGCGCTTGGTCCAGGGACCAATTGAGGCCTGGTTACTGACACTGAGTGGCGATGAGCTTGAAGTTCCATCGCATGCCCAAGCCCCCAGTCAAAAGCACTCTTCCTTCTTTAGAACCACAGGCACTCAGCACTGAGGGCGGTGCGTCGGAGAAACTCCTTGCCAGCAGACAAACCACATGACATCTTTGCCACAACAAGGACATTACTAGCAGTTCAGATGCTAGCATCTCATGCTGTGTCCCGACATGTTGATCCAGGCTCACCTACACTGGTTTGCTGCCAGGTGGCCATCGCTAATCTCTGGGGAGCCCCCGTGATCTGCTGGAAGTTCGCAAGCTTTTCCCCTTTCAGTCACAAGAGCTTTGAAGGAAGGACGAAGGACGACAGTCAGTGGAAGCAGGGCTCCCACTTGCGACATGCAACTTCCTCTGACAGCATAATGTAGCCAAGGCACGCTGCGAGCGGTTGAGCCCACTCAAGTTGCCTGACCTGGGTAGGCTTACCCGAACACCCTCCACCACCTCTTCAAGAAGTCACATGGAGCTGCAGCACGAATCGAACAACGCGGGACTGCCATCTCGGGCGCCCACATACCAGGCGGACCACCCCGCTACGGCCTCCTGGCCTTCTTGGCACGCCCGCAGCTTGCTATGAGCTACGAACCGGGTCCTAACTCGAGCCCAGAGCCATCATGGCCATGCACGCCATGCCTTCACCAAATGCAGCTGTGAACATATGTGAACGTTATCCGTCGCTAGCAAGAGCTTCCGGCCATACTTGGAACCGTAAATGAGCCCAATGTCATGGAGCTTCCGTTTGGCAGAAAGGCGCCTGGAGACATCTGCACACCAGGACATGGAAGATGCCATGACCTGCAACACCAGAGGGCTGCCTTCGAGTATGACAGCTTTCCCTGGCACGTGCCGGCCTGGATGGATCGGAGGATGGCCCCTGGCAACACAGAAAGAACATCCATGTGGGGGCTATGGGCCCTCACCCTCCATGATCTAGCAATGGTCTAGATTCGGATTGACTGGTAGAACGGCGAAGGGATCTAGCGACCGTGAGCTTGACAGGCAGAAGGTTCAGCCCGAGCCTCCAAATGATGAACGAGAGCTTATCGCTGCACTACCAAACCCGAACCGCATTTGCAGCCTCATCTAACGCTCGAAAGCTGTCAAGACATAAGAACTGACCGACTGCAGCGATCACCAGGGTGGTTTAGCCGTTCCGGCACACCTTCATGGCTACTCAGATGCTGTGGAATGCGAACCCTGACAGCCCATCAAGCAGCAATGGAGGAATTCCGGCTGGCACACCTGACTTGGGAAGGCTCTCTGTCGCATCTTCAACATCTGGAGCATCCTCGGGGCCGCAGACCAAAACTTCGCAAAAGAAATATCGCGAGTGCAACTACTCCCACTAGTCTGCCATTCAACTATCCTGAACTTCCAGAAAAACCAGGTCCCCAATTTTCTAAGAACAGACTGACAAAATATGCAGAGCTGTGGCATGAACTGACGACACATGGTAAGGGAAAGCTGCATGATGTATCACAGTGTCAAATTCACAAATTTCAGAAACGCTGATCTGTACCTGTGCTATTCACTGACACGATGGCTTTCTTGGTGCCTCCCGTCCTCGCAAAGCTCTTCTTCCCCGTGGATCGTGTAAGCTTGCACGGGCTGTCCCCCGTCGGAGGCCGGAGACATGAACCTGAGGCGACACCGAGTTGGTCCCCCTTGAACCCCAAGCTGAGGGAGTAGCTGGGATGTGCGGCTCGGGTGCTGCAAGTTGAGCTTAAAGGGTGCACTCTTGTCCCGCGCACACAAGAAAGATCCGCTGTGGCCTTCAAAAGCTAGATAGATAGCATACGCGGGCAAGGTCACAGTACCTTAGGAGTCCGGCTCCAACTTCACCACATCCAGGTCCGGACTCGCCGGGCCTGCAGCGGTGGACAACCGTTTTCCCCGACGGGTACCCAAAAGAGCTACGACGGACGAACCCTTTCTTTTTGGATGGTTTGAAGCGCATTCGCGCCGGGTCCGTCGCAATCGCCAGTACCAGGCAAGCCGGCGCCGGGGGACGCTTTTAGCTGCCCCGGCCCGCTGCCCGCCAGCGAGCGACGACCCGAAGGTCTCCAAATAAAAAATATCACCCAACAAGGGCGGTGAGGGTGGGAGCTGAAAATCGTCGGGGGACGTGGAGCAGACAGCGGCTGCAGCATCCACGTCGATTCGACGGTTGTCCCTACGCACATAAATGTGCTACACGACGTGCACTAGCTCCTATATCCCACCACCATCCCCGGAACTCCACCAGGACGATAGTAGTGCTAAAGTAGATAGCTAGCGAGCTAGCCGAGCGACGACCAGACTGACAAGCAACAGCAGCTAGCACGGACGTTCTTTTGTCTGGAGTGGCAACTATCCCAGGTTGCCTGGAGATAACTGATAGCCTTCGGCTATCTATCCCCAGGGTGGGCAGGGTGGGTACTTCAAAATTACCCCCCCTGATGGGGGACTTTATCCAGAATGGCCACGGTCACACACCGTCGTAGCCATTCCAAGTCACTGCTATCCTGTCTTCGCATGTCAGAGGCAACTCTCCTGCGAGCGACGATAGCGAACGAAACTTCGTTTCTAGCGAAGCTACCTTCGATAGCTTCGAGTAGTAATAGGTAAGCTAGCACACATAGTCGTAACTCGTTCCTCGTCACGAGGTACGTGCACTAGCTCCTATATCCCACCACCATCCCCGGAACTCCACCAGGACGATAGTAGTGCGAAAGTAGATAGCTAGCGAGCTAGCCGAGCGACGACCAGACGGACAAGCAACACAGCTAGCACGGACGTTCTTTTGTCTGGAGTGGCAACTATCCCAGGTTGCCTGGAGATAACTGATAGCCTTCGGCTATCTATCCCCACGCATCGCCACTCAGGCTACCAGGGATCTAGCTTTCTGGCCTTGCGGCTAAACTTGGACACCCTATCCGGGGTCCCTCGCTTTCGCGTGCCTAGCTCCTGGTAGAAGCTATCTGCATGCGCGAGTAGCCGGCCAAGAACACGCCACTGGAATTCCTCTCCTTTCAGATCTATCCTCTGAGAGGGATCGAATTCCTTGAACTCCTCGTTTGTAAGGTCATCCGCTAGCTGGTTGATGTCTCTCCGTATCCACTGGAGCTGTAGCTCACAGTTTTTCTGGGATAGCTCTTCTGCTATCTCCATTAAAACTAACATGGAGGGATACTTGGTCGTCATAGCCTTCTTCACAAGTGCCTCATTGGACTTGTTATCCGTATAGCCGCGGATGGCCACTCGCGAGGTCTTCCTATCCTCGCCCTCGGGGACCCAGAGACGTATCCCCACGAGGGTCGCTAGCAGTTCTAGCGCAGCTATCACTTTCTTGGGGTCGCCTTTGGCAAAGGCCCACGGAGCCCAGGCCCTATCCACTTCTAGGGAAAACCAGGGACCCGGCTTCCCTCCGGAAATCTCCAGGAAGCCCCCTATCCAGGCCCTATCGGACTCAGCTTTGGCATCCGTGAAAAAGCTCAGTGGAGGTAGCCCGGCGTAGAGAGTCACTGGACGCTGTAGCCTCTCTCCTTGGTCAAGCTTGTCGGCTAGCCACCGCATCAGCACCCGGAGCATCGTCGGAATGATGAGGTAGCCGGACTTCCCTTGAATGGCTGCGCTCCACGCGTGGAGCGGCCCTAAGAAGGGCCTCTGCCAGTCCAAGGCTATCGCGGCAAAGCCCAGCCGACCTAGCCCCTGCTGCATCTCCTTGGCCGTGACCTTGCCGATGGTCACCTTGTCGTTTAGCCACGCCGATAGCCAGGACGCCCGTTTCTTGGACATCCCTAGCCTGTAGGAGGAGTACTCTGTCTCCATTCCCAGCCACTCCACCCTATAGCCACCACGAGTCTTCGCCCACTTGAAAGGATATCCCAGAACAGAGAGGAAAAGGTAGCTCAACGGGATACCCTTCCTCCCCTCCGTTCCTATCCCCAGGGCCTCGAGGTCATCGGCATATAGCAGGAGGTCGATGGGATAGCCGGGGCCCAACAGATGATGGGTTGCCCGTAGCCCACATGCGGCTATCCGGGTCCACCAGTAGCTAGCCGGCGAGAGTCCGAACGTGCCCACCTTGTTGACGTAGACGATCTGGCTATCCGGGTCCCCGGGGATCGTCTCCTCGGTGTCTATCTGGCAGCCCATGAAGCCGTGCTCGCTAGCCTGGTGTTTGTATCTCCGGTGGGCCTTCGAGATATCCCCCACAACCGAAAAGGCAATCTCGCCACAGCGTATCAGCTCTCGGAGGATTTGCTTCTTTTCTCTAGCCCCCGGCGCCCGGATCTTATCCCGACAGCGTATCCGGTGGTTAACCCGGACGCCGTGGGTCGCGTCGTGGATTATCCGCTTCTTGTCCTTCTCCTCGTCCTCGACTATCACGGCCAGGGAGGCGATAGCCCGGTCCTCGCCGAACCTCGCCTTGAACTCGCCGAGGGTCATTCTCTCCATGAGGCCTTCCTCGACGTCCTCGTCGAACTTAGCCCGCACAAAGTCCCTGTGGTCGCTAACCGAGAATAATTCGGAACCCATGCTAGCGCCGGCTCCCAAGGGGCGTTGTCTAGCCTCCAAGAGGATTGCTCCTCGAACACGTGCGGTGTTCTGGGTAGCCCCTCCAATATCCCAAGTGGGAGTCCCTCCTCGGCCCGACGGAGGAAGTCCCTATCCGGGTCGCCAGCCGCCTCGAGGATAGCACGAAGTAGCCGAAGGCGGAGGGGCTGCCCAGGAGGAATATCCAGTAGGCCAGGTTCGCTGAGGTCCTGACCTTCTATCCAAACTTGCAGGAGTTGCAGTAGCTCTTCGTGTAGTTGGCTATCCCGGACGAGCTTGCAGGCCGACTCGCCTCCCATAGCCATTCGGAAGGCCTCCTTTTCTAGCTCGTTCTCGGATCCCACTCGCCTGGTGACCATTTCCCGGATCTTAGCCCTCAGCCAGTCCCAGGATTCGCCCGCGGCATGTCCACGAGAGTGTCGGGGCCATCGCCCAGGAGAGCATAGCCCGCCACCGTCGTGGAATTCCTTTATCCCGTCGTTTTGATGGCATCGGCGGGGGGGTCCCGTGCCACCATGTAGCCGTGGGCCCTCTGGTTGGTTTGTAACATAGTCGAGGTCGCCAGAGCTTGCCTTATCCTGCACAGTCGGTACCCCCTCTCCGGAGGCAGTCGGAGCAGTAGCCGTGCAGGTTGCCAGGGCCAACTGTGCTAGCCATCGGCAGAAGTTGGAGGGCCACTCGCCAAGCGTCTCCTTAGCCAGCATGGGGCTCTGCGGCGTCGATGAGGTAGCCGCTTTCGGCAAGGGGCCCAAGTAGTAGCCCTTGTTGTCGAAGGTGGGGAGGCCTTCGTGCACGGTAGCCGGCATCTCCAGAGGTGTCTTCAGTAGCAGTCGTGTCGGTTTCGCCGAGGGTGCCCCGAAGTTATCCAGGTGCAGGGCCACCGAACGTAGCCCAAGGCCAATTAGCCGTCCATGAGCCTCCCATTGCCACATGCTGGCCGGTCGCCGGCCTTTGTGGGGGCCAGCCGGCATAGCCCCCAAGTCTTCTGGCTGCTCCAGGACGAAGAAGGTAGCCGAGGAGGCCGCAGCACTAGCTATTTCAAAAGAAAAATCAGCAAAAATGTTGCCAAGAATAGCCCGGTCTCTTTCCTTGGCCGTGAGAGTAGCCAATCCTCTGGGCTCGTCGAAGCTTCGGACTGGCCGGGGACCTTTACGGTTAGCCGAGCTCGCCCTAGAGAACGTCGCCACCGGGGGAGACATAGCCACGATGTCGTAGTGGCCCGATTGAACTTTGTGAAGGTACTTCGCCCTCTCCTTGGAAGTAGCCAGATCAATGGGTGGGCTTCTCGCCAGATCCACACAAGAGATATCGATGTCGAGCCCGAAGGAAGAAACTAGCCGGCGGAGGTGGCTTTGGAAGCTGCCTAGCCTTTCTCTTCCCGAGAAGAGGTAGAGAGCCTGTAGCCGCCGGTGTGCCGGTGTCGCCTCAGGTGTAGCCGAAGTAGCCGGCTCAGGCACCGGTAGTCAGTTGGCCGCTGTCGACGTCGACGGCGTAGCCGTGCCGGGGCAGTTGATAGCCGAATGCGGTCCCCGACACTTCGTGCAAACATGCACGAAGTGGCACTTATCCCCCTTCTTGCAGCCACCTTTCAAATTAAATCGAAAACATATCGGCTTGTCATCCTCGGTGCGGTGGAAGGTAGCGGTCTTAGCCTTCTTGTTGCTATCCTTGCCGTCCTTGCCCTTGCCTCTGCCCTTGCCCTTCTTGTTGGGCTTAGCCGGCGGGGTGTTGGTGCTATCCCAGTTCCAGGGCTGCGGCCTTTTAGCACAAAGGGACAACGGAGTCGTGAAGTGCCGCTCCTTGGTAGCCGCGTCCTTCCAAGACTGGACTAGCGCGTCCGCGAAGGCTATCCCTTTGAGGACCATCTGCTTGTAGGCCTGTTTCCGGATAGCGTTCTCGTAGGATAGCACCAGGGTCCACGGGGGAGCAAGACTTCCGCTAGCCTCGTTGGACCGTAGCCCATAGCAAAAGTCGCCGAGCAGATAGTCTTTGTATTTCTCAAAGAGCTGGAAGTCGATATCCTTGAGTTCTGCTCGCCCTGGATGCTGGAGACCTATCATGAGAAGTGCATTTTGCATGACTGTTAGCCGTAGCCGTAGC